AAAGCAAAGAAAAAACAAATTACCTAAGTAAACGTGAGCTGAAATTTTGTTACTCTGCTATTATTGCTTATAATTTTTTTATTGTTATTTGTTTTGTTAGATTGTTCTACTATTGTTTCTTTGAGAATTATTGTTCGTTAGCGAAATAAAATATACATACTATGTATACACTGTGTCAATTTTAAAACTTGAAATCGGCAATTTCTCTCAACTGAAAAAGTTATTAATAATCACTCAAAACCGTTTTGGTGGTTCCTAGGGGGAATTAAAATGACATGATAAGTGACACACTTCCACCCACCCTTGAATATAAAAAAAATAAAATTTAACGTCTTCGTGTTTGAATAATTGGAAAAATGGCTTTACCAAATAGGCTGTTGTATGACATTTTTGAAAAGCGCTTGTTATGGGCTTTCCAACGATGTATCGCAAGTAGAATCGTGCCATTTAAAATTTTCAACTTAAGGTGGCTGTGGCTTGAAGGGTGGGTGGAGGAGCGCCATTTACCATGCCATTTTGATTTCCCCTAAAAACCACCGAAACAGTTGAGTGATTCTCTATAATTTTTTTAGTTCTAGAGATTTTGCCGATTGCAAGTTTTAAAATTGACACCTGTATGTATAATCTACAAGGATTGCAGTTTTTAGTTTCTTCTTATACTGTATACTACTCTCTTCTCCGAAACCAGAGAAGAGAGGAGCCCAACAGACGTCTTTCGCGGGGGGGCCCAAATTTTCTAGTTACGCCACTGGGTGATTGTTAATATAACACCCTCTAACATACCTACTTGTAAAACTATAACAGAAAGAACATTTTTTATATTTATGTTAGAAGAGTAAATTTTAGTGTTCTTAGCAAGAGCAGTAAATTTCTGATTCCTTTTGCCGCAACCAACAATACCAATGGTACTAACTACTAGAATAAAGTTATTTCTTTTCAGTTTGATATCGAAGTAAGTTGGATAGATTCGTGAAAAATGTCAGATTGACAGATAACTTATATTTAATCAAAATTCAACAAATTAAGTTAAGGTAATGTGAAAGGTGTTGGAAGTGTCTACCATTGGCGCCCAGTCGGTTGGTAAACGATAACAAAACAAGTCGCAACATTTGAGGAGTGATTTTTTATTTAATGTCAAAGTGACAAGACTAATAACACGCCAAAACTTCACTTTTAAAACTCATTGTTTCTGATTTTTGTAAATTTGAGATATGTTATAGAACGTGTAAAAGTAAGGGACACTTACTTCACCGTTTTTTTTATTTTTTCAATGTATGTTAAAAAACAGGGATGTACAAAATTAAGAAAAAAATTTTATCTAAAGAACAAAACAACATATTGAAACGATTTTTTTTTTAATAATAGATATAGTACACTACGGACGTAATAATATATTAGTTAAACCTGAAATAATTTAAAGCGTCTATTTTTGAAGTTTTAAAATTTATGCAAGATAATATTAAATTTCTAATTTTACTTGATGATAAAAATGGTACCTAAACAACTCATTAGAGACTTCATAAATCATAGAGCTACCATTAAACCCACCACAACTTATTATTTCAATCGATATTACCTACACCCCAGAGCCGTTGCACTTTGAAAACCTCCAAAAATTCTATTTACCATTCAAATTCCTCCTACAATTGTGTTCTAATTTCGTTATTAAATATTTATACAAAACCGCAACAACGTAAACAATACGTAGCGTATCTATCTCTGACACTTTTATTTCCTAATGTAAACTTTGAATTAGTTCTTACCTTGCGGCCGGCCATTCAGATTCCGTGGTAGATGCCGGTGCAGAAGTACTCCTTGCCGGCAAGCTCATGCTCAGCCGAGGCATAATCCGGAGCGTTATAGGTCGCCTCCGTCTCGTAGAGCATTCTGCAATTATAGTAATCCACAACTCCGGTTCGTTTCCAAACTAACAGGAAACTGTATTGTCTCGACCGGGAAAAAATCTGGGGTTTACCCCCACACTCACCCGCCACGGAAGAAAGAGAATTCCGAGGTGCCAACAGATGAGGCGTCAACAATTCCCCTCCGGAAAAGCCGCCGGAAGACGTAGGCACGGAAATTGCGTGAGACTCCTCTCGAGTCACCTTGAATTTGATCGACGTTGCTTTCATTTCGGATCTGAAACAATTCGGAAAGCATTTTAAAATCGACGCCGCGTGACAGGAGATCGTCTAAATTTATTTGCATTTATTTTTCTCGGCCTTCGACAAACAGTTTTATCATTCAACTCTTGTATTTCATCTGCCACTAATGCGATAGAGCTTCAATCATGTGAAAGCACGGTAAATGTTTGTTGCCTGTTACCGTAGTAACGAAACAGGTGCGTAGGACGAACAGCCCAAAACGTGCTATCTTATCACTATTTTTTTCGGCATTTGCACTCGACAAATCTCTTATACATCTATATTACATCCCCCGGATTCAATTAAGCGGTTGCATGTTGATTTTTTATTGACGGCGCTTAATAGAAATCTTTAGTAAAGCGGCGTCATAAAATCGGTTGCTTGGCGCAACCGAAGAAGAGAAAAAAAAACATTTTGTCGCTATATACGAAATGAACTTATTTTGAAAAACTAATGTCGATGGAATTTCATCAGCACTCCCCCTGTTTTCAAACTCACCGACGATATTCGATACTTGAACTACATGCGATAGTTGCCGCAATTTCCAAACTTGTTTAATAAAGTTAATTTATATGAGAAGAATTTGTCCTTGGATAAGATAATTGGGGATGATTGACTGAATGAATATTTCAGGGGATGTCCGCCCAGATTTATACGAAAATAGTATCAGCGTAGAATACCTATACATAGACGATTTTTCTTTGTTTCCAAGTGAAACTGATTAGAAATAATAGAAACACCAGCTGCTGGACGTAATTCGAAAATTCCCGAAATTTTATCATTTATATAACTTATTATAATTACGACATGTCGAATTTTGCCAATAATCTACTCGATTTATTTATCTGATGATAGCGATTATTAACGAATTCCTGTTCAGTGCATATTGATTGATTACTACATAAAAAAATTAGACACATTTCTGACTCAAACGGATCACATCTTCTGCTTCGAGTTGCAAGCTTTTAAGTATATTGTGTTTGCGATGTACACAGGATAATTAATTTGTGGTAGGTAAAAGCGACAACCCTCTGATACACATTCAATAATGTATTACAAACAAGTCTAAAGTTTGAAGCTCAGAGGTGATAAAAAAATTGATATGAGATCTGTGGACACAAATCAATGAGAAAAAATACAATTATTTTTACGGTCACGTGATGCATAATTAGAAAACAGGTCGTAGTCAGCCATGAAATATTCAGATAAGAGATATTTTTATAAGAGGGTAAGAGGAAGAGGAGACTTTCATCCGAAATTTGTACAACACAAATAAAAAAATCCAAGATTTCGTTCAAGAACCAGCAACTGCCACTGTTAAATCAGTTGCTTAGAATTACATTATCAACAATCCAAGGGCTTTACCTGTCAATCTGAAAAAGGAAACACAATTTGGACAAATAACACCACAATAAAAGGATTAGTTTGTTTGTCTTTGAATTCCCTTATCTGTTAATTCTGACAAAAAACCTTTCTTTCCTCTGTACGCTCTTATCTAATAATTCTTCTGACGCATTTTTGTACCTTTTTAAATTATCACTAAGCACTTTCCACTTCACAGATTTTTAGTTTCGTTTTTCAACAGTCGAATATTGTTTGAGAATTAGCATCCGCATGCTAAATTGTTTATGTTTGCTTACAAGAATTTCCGAAAATAAAATAATGTTTGACGAAAGCAACTTTTTATTTGAAACGGTCGTGCATGTTCGCGAACTGACAAAGCGAATTTAACTCGACCACATGCTTTCCCGACTTGTTTTCCACGATGGACGCGTTTAGCGCTTGCGTTACGATTTGATAAATGAATCTTTTTGGGAAAAAGAACCAATTGCCGTGAGAAAACTTTCTAACTTTCTAATGTCCGAGCTAATTTCATATTCGGAAGCGACGGAAAAATATCATTGCCTTTATTCAAACTGAAGGAAATAAAACAGGAAAAAAAGTGAAAAGTCAGAAGGAATTTGATTAGTTTCTCGAGAAATTTTTCACTCCTCGTGAGAAGGTAAAAACAACGTGCTCACATTAAATCACAATAAAATACTTCAAAAGAATTTATGTAAATATTGTATATGGTTTGATATACCTTTTATAAAAATAAGAAAGTAACAGGGGGCGAATACTAAACTGGAACACCCGGTATTTCAATTGGATATAAAACATAAAACTGAATCTGTCGTTTACCCTTACCTTAGTTCGTTGACGAAATCATGTTGAATTTCCTTCTGCAGATTACTTATTGAGAAACAATGTAGCTAATAAATAAACTTTTTTGCGTGTTTTTTGAGCAATGCTTAATGTTTTGTAACGCAAATTTTGAAAAACAAACTCAGAAAAATTCGAGTTACCAGTGGGAAAAAGCCAAAATGTCAAACTGGAAAAGCAACAGCAACTTGATGTGTAAAAATTATATTTTTTTTTCGAAAATTCACAAAACTGAAAAAGTGTAAAATATAAAAAGAAGGCCAAAGCGCATTATAGTACTGCTAATTTAATGTATTTATTAAAATTATCTTGAGATTAGAATTTGGGGTTTTTCGTAAAGTAAGGTTGGCTACCACCAAACCAACTTTTTCAAATTTAAATCCCCGGCTCTGATAAACAAAATTATCAAATACAATTTTTTCCAACAATTACGCAATTCTCTCAAACTTTCCTTACCGGATCTTTCCATCCATTTAATCTTTTACAAGGTGACTTATTATCTCTGCGTCTTTATTCCCTCGTTGTGTGATTTCTTCAAGTCTCGCATTTCTCATTCCCCGTTTAATTCGTAAATTACAGCAGACTTTCGGTACGCAAACTCCTTTGTATCTCTCATCCCAAAGGAGAAACCAACTTTCAATGAGTCAATCAATATTTCTTTGAAGCGTTTTAATCGTTTTTCTTAATAGTAACACTATGAAGCAAAAACATGTTTCATTTCCTAACAAAGTCGTCAATTTACAATAAATACTGAGTACTATGAGGATCACTGAGCTTGGAGCTTATTTATTTACAATATACACACTTATTAGTATGCCAAATAAATTATTATCAATATAAAATTTAAATACACATTTACACTTTAGAAGGCATTTTAAGATTATTGATGACAGCATACGTGAATTCCTGAGTGCTAGATTGCCCCCCGATGTCTTTAGTTCGAACCTTACCATCTTTGAGAACTTGTTCTATCGCGTTTCGGATCATATCCCCATACTGAGGCAAATTCACATGCCTCAAGAGCTTCGCCGCACACAAGAGCATCGCTGTTGGGTTTGCAACGTTCTTGCCAACGGCTTCAGAATACGTGTGACGCGCCCCCTGCAAAAACAACGAGATAAACACCCTCACAAAAAAAAAACACTCACCGGTTCAAATACGACACAATTTGCAGAGTACGACGCCCCCGCAACGACTCCAGCGCCCCCAACAAGCCCCGACGCTAAATTATCCACAATATTCCCATACAAATTCGGGGTCACCATCACATCAAACTGTTGGGGCTTTGATACCATCTGCATGGTACAATTATCAACAATCATTCTCTCAAATTCGATTCTTGGGTACAATTTTGCCATCTCTTCGCAACTCCTCAAGAAGAGACCATCTCCTAACTTCATAATATTGGCTTTGTGAACCGCCGTGACCTTTTTCCTGTTATTTTTGGTTGCGTAATCAAAAGCGAATTTCGCGATTCTTTGAGACTTTTTCGCTGTTACAATTTTGAGACACTCGACGACTCCTTTAACACTCTCGTGCTCTAAAGCGGAATATTCTCCTTCCGTCTGTTCTCGGATAATCACACAATCAATGTCCTCATGTCTTCTCTTTACTCCCGGAAGCGACTTGACGTGCACCACGTTGGCATACAAGTCAAGAGTATTTCGCAGTTTCATGTTTAAGGTTTGAAGCTCCCCCGTGTGGCTGTAATCAGGCGTAGCAAGAATGCCTTTGAGGCAAACACGGTTTTTTGATATTGACTTCGCGACGTCATCTAAGGGGGCACTCAATGTCGGGTTAACCTCAGAGAAGAAGTATGACTCAAAGTCGACAGGAATTGAGGCTGCCTTGAATACTTCCTGGACGGAATAGACAAGTTCGGGGCCCACTCCATCACCGGGGATGAGAGTGCAGGTGATACGGGTACTGGGGCGCTCAGAAATGCCCTTTTAATGCAAATTTTAGTAAAGTCGATGTAAAGGATTGGGGCCTGTACTTACGGATTCACTGAGTGAAGGCAATGATGAATGGAGGCTCCGGACAGTGGCGGTTTGGGTGGCCTAAAAATAGCTTAATGTGACAGGTCTAAGGGGGCTATAGTGAGACTTACCTGGACTAAGATTTTGGAAATATTGCGCGCAAGTAACGACATTATTGTAGTTAAATCACGTGTTACTTAATAATATTTGATAATTTTAGATCAAAGGTTTTAGAGGTTAGGGTGCCACTCGCATGCGCAACAAGAACCAAAAGTGGGGACGGATAAAGTCACTAAAGTCGTCAACCAAAATTTTATACTTATGCGTATAATAATAAAGACATAACAAATCAAAAATGAATATTGTTGTATAAACTTTTCTAAGTCCAAATTAAATTTTAACATTATTTAAAGCAAATGTGATTTATGCAACCATTTATGCAAGCGTATAATTAGTTGCCTACACAAGCTATATTTCACTTATAAAAAAATTATCGATTATTATAATTGAATAAAACTTGGATAAAATTATACTCGTAATATTCTATATTAAAGAACATTGCCTGCAACATTTGTTACATCATAGCGAAAAATAAAAATACTCCGCTAAGATCTCCGAGTTTCAGTTTTTCCTTTAAATACAGAGATGTCTACCATTGAAATTAAACGACAAAATTGAGTCTCTTTAAGGAGTTCCCAAGATAATCAAGTTGGAGTGCAGACGCCACGTTTCCACAATGTAATTCTGGTGTAAAATCCCAAGGGTGCATCTCTTGAACTTTGACATTTTCACCCTTGAAAAAACTCATCTTGAGACTACCCCCTTTAAACCCGATGTGTTGTAATTTGAACAGATTAGAATCTGTATATAAGACAATAAAAATTTTATGTACTGCAACGTGGCTTCTTGTTTATAAACCATCTCTCTTTTAAACTCTGATTCTTTCGCGAGTGTGACAAATCCTCGGCGGCATCCGCCAGCGGTATTAAAATAGCGCCATTCATCATTGGCCATTTTTGCCGAAGAAGTCGTTAAAGACTCTAAAAATAAGAATCCGAAAATAAGGGTGTGATACAGCGCGATGAGATCACCCTTTGGCGTCTATTGACCCTTCATAAATCACTCATAAGTCACAAATTGATCAACAAATCTTCTAAAAATATTTCATAGTTCTGCTATATCACCGGTCATAATTTTTTTATCGCCGTTTTCCTTAACGACCGCTTAATTTATTTCAGTGGGGGCAATCCTGAAAGCGTACTGGCTTTCAATCTTATCTAAACTTGTCACCCCGAGAGCACACATGTCTCGATGTATTCGCCAAGTCTTGCGTCTCGGCTTCAGTCAAATAGCGCCGTTTCACGTGCTTACAACTGAAAGTGAAATGAGTGCCACAAAAGTTTTACTTTCTCTATGGACCAATTGACTTGTAATTTTGGGCAAGTGATGAATTAGGTGAAGGTTCAATTAAAAAAAAAGCAAAAATGAAGCTGTGGAAGGTCCTTGCCAGGAACAGCCACATTTACACCAAAGAGAAAGGACACATGATGGAATTGCAAGGTTTTATTTTTTTATTCAAACTGTAGTTTATTTTAAGCTCATGTTACAATTTGTTTTTTGGACATTCAAAATGATTAGAAATTTATAAAATTGTCAATATTTTCAAAATATTAAAAAATTAATAACCTACATTGGCCGAACTATAGGTCCTGGTAATCTTTATGTGACAATAGTTCTCTCTTCAAAATGATGAACTTGCCAAGAGTTACAAACTATTTATTTACATTTCTCTGATTAGCAAGCATTGTCCAAGTAACGTTTCAATGTAATATTTATAAAATCTGTCATCTCCATCCCATAACAACAATTTCATACTGGAATCATTGTAAGACTGAGCTGAAATTATATTAGTATATTACCTTTATGTAAAAAGTACGATTATATATTAATGTCTTAATAAACAATTTTTGTTAGGAGTCAATATTTACAAGACTTAGCTTAAATGTGAAAATTTTAAAACAACAATTTTTAATTGCACAAAAAACATAAAAACGCAAAAATGGTACAAAAATGGTAAATAAAATAATAAAAACAGTGTCTTACAATTATGTATAATGACTAATACCTAATTGAACTAATATAGCCCTTTTATCTATATTGTGTCCGCTTGTTTTTGAATAATCGGGAGTTACTCCGTTTAACAAAAAAATCTAATAAAAATTAATAGAAAATTGTAACAACAGCTTTTTTATATTACCATTTGGGCGGATGATCCCTTTGGCGGTAATTGGAATAGTGCTTTAGTAATATACCTGAAGATATATTATGTGAAAAACCGGATTCGCCCTATTGTGCGTTCCCACGATTCGTACAAATTGTGCTACTATTGGCCCAAAACATAAAATTTGGAGAGAACGACAAGAATACTGAGAGTAGTCAATCACCCTTTTCTATGTTTTACCATCACTTTGAAATAGATAATAACAAAAATATCTACAAACATAAGATTATTTTACCAGTAGCAAAATTCGAGTCGTTTTAATAATTTTTCCTTGGTTAAAAATGGGCACTTATTGCAAAAAAAGACCAAATTTTTTATGTTAAGTAGATCTTCTTGCTTTACCTTGTTTCTGCTTCCCGCAACTAGAATCTTAGGAACTAGAAACATTAGGCATCTTAAATTTAACAGTCAAACCTTGTCTGTCGCCAATATTGCAGTAAGCAAACTTTGAATGGTTTCCTTCAGGTGTTAATAATATGCATTTCGTATCCTTGCCTCTTATCATTTCAGCATCTTTAGCGGGAGTAGCTAAATTTTCTTCTACCTCTTAAATTAATACCTCAATAAACAAGCTTTTCTAAAATTTAGTTTACAACTCACGCAACTATCCTCTACATAAATAATAGAAAGGATTTCTTGTTTTTGGACGGGTTAGTAGAAACGCAATTTTCCGGAACATTTCGATTTTTATTTACATCTTCCTCAGGCCGTTAATTGTTACGGATAGCGTCCGTGAAAAATGAGGAAGATTTGAATCAAAAATCGAAACGTTGCCGAAAAATTGTGTTACAATTGTACATAATACATAAAATATTGTATACAGGGTGTTTCACATAATTTTACGAGGCCTGCGCCTATAAGATCCAATCAATATTACATATGAATATGAACAATATGAACTCGATTACATATTTTGAAAAATTGAATAATCTTTCCTAATTTTCTTACCCTTTCTAAAATTACAACGTTTTTAGTTAGTTAGTGATTAAGATAGGTAAACTATAAACATATTCATGCCGTCAAATGATAATTGTTTCTAAAAAACTGCAGTTTAAAATAATAAAACAGTGATTAGTTCGGCAACTACTGTCATGGGTTTCCAAAAATTAAATAATGAAATGTGTATTTTTTGTATCTAGTGTTTTGTGACTTTTGTATACAGGGCAATTCAGGTAAGATAATGATCATGACGATCTGAAGATGCAACCCAAAAAACAAATTACATTTACACCTTTGATCCAATTTAAATTAGGATTTATAAGTTGAATCCAAGTTATCATCTTATGTCACTCTTACATCAGCGCAGAAAACGATCATTAGTCCCATTTAGTTCTCGCGGAATAAAGAAATTTTGTGGGTGTAAACCTAATACAAAATAAAGAACGAAGGTAGGCAAACAGTTTTTTTTATATTATAAAAAATGTCAAAGCACTGCCAGAGCAACATAAGATAACTTAAATTGCAAATGCAAATCGTAATTAAAATTAGATCGAGACGTAAATGAAATTTGTTTTTTGGGTTGCATTGCTAGAACGTCGGGCTCATTATCTTATCTGAATCACCCTGTATTTAGGTGCGTACATTAGGCGCAAGCCTCGTAAAGTTGTATGAAACACCCTGTATAATGTGTATTATTGTACATATGTATTTTATGTAGTTATTGTTAAAAAATCTTTGAGGAAAACATAACGGTTTGTCAACTGGTTTCTAGTTTTTTCCATAAAACAATTTAATTGGAAAATATTTTAATTCCTCTTGCAAGAATTTTGGAACTACTCGTAAGTACGAGTACTTTGCGAAAAAAAAAATTGTTGAAGTAATCATATCAATTTTGGTTTATTTTTCGTACGAGAAAAAAAATGTTCCTTTGATCTTTAAAAAAATAACTTTTTGTAAATTTTTGTCAGCAAAAAAAGTGTTCTACCAAAATTCACTAAAAATGGGAAGTTCAGAAGTTAAAACAGAAAAATAAGAGCAAGAAAACCCAATCCCATAAAAATGTAATATCTAGATAAAAATAAATAATAATTTTTTGCGCGATTGAGATCTATTTGATTGTTGACCACGTCTGTTTCCATGACTGTAAATTGTCTTTACTCGTTGCTATCCCAAGCTCGTCGGTACCTAAGTATTTTGTTTATTGTTGCCAAGTCGGTAAACATTCAAAAATGTTCTGGAACGGCAAAATACTTTGCCGTTCTAGAACATTTTTTAAATATTTTATTAAAACAACTAACAAAAATCAATTGCGCAAAAAATGTCATCATAAGCATCACGAACGTTAAGGACTTACCGATCTCAGACAATAATTGTCTTCGATCGGTAAAATATCCTTACCGTTCTTGATGCTTAATATACTATTGTGTATACACTCCCAATAGTAAAAATAGACAGACTCATGTGATGTGTCCCCAAAATGAGTCTTTTTCGGACTTAATAAAATAGTAGGCAAAATAGAAATAGTTATTTAATTTGGGTGCTAGCACGTAAAATATACAGTTTTCACGTACAAAAAAAATATAAACTGGTTACTGTGGTGGTTAAAATTCAAAGCTTACTATTTATTACTATTCATTTATTACCTAATCATAAATAATATAAGAGGTGTGAATGTGATTCGTCCGCAAAAACTGTATATTAGATACTTGCAACAAAAATAACTATTTTCAAAAATAGAACATCAGTTTATTTTTTAAGCACAGATCAAACGAGTCATAATACAGTATTAAAATTACCAAAAAAAAAAGTATCCAAAATTGCTAGAGAGCTACCATTTAGTAAAACTTAGTTTACTACTTCGACTTCGAGGCTGAACAAAAAGACCTTCCTTACTAGTAGTTCATTTATTTATTTATATTTAAAACGGAATTACAACTAGACAATTTGTCGACTTAATTATTCAAATGAACTCATCTATTCCTGGTCGGAACCCGTTTCAAGCCAAGCGTCTGTTTTCTTAATCAACTCCTAATGATCCGTTCACATGTCCTCCACATCTGTGTCAGACGAACGTCACTGCTCAACCCTCATCTCCGTTCATATTTCCCAACCCCGTTAAGTGGTACAAAAACTCGAGTGTCTTACGAGATTTTTATGGTCTTGTTAAATGACATATCGCTGCGATTTGTATATTTTCAAGCCATTAATGACAGTCGTTTTCGTCGCAACATTGTGCTCAATGGCCCGATATTTATGTTACAGAGTACAAGTCGAGGTCGCCCACCTACTCGGAGGACTCCGGGCGGCACTCCAGCAGCGTCCTGGACGACCAACAACTCCTGCTGACCACCGTCCAACTCCGGAAAAAAGCGGGCGAGCCTTTGGGTATTGTCATAGGTGAGAAGGTTTCACTTCCGAAGTGTCTTCGACCGGATACAGAGATGACGCGTCTTGGGAGTTATAAATAGGCGTCGGTCGGCGGCTTGTACCTGGCCGCGATTTATATTCAAAACATCGGATCACAAACGACTTTATACCCGCGAGACGAATTTAAATTTTTACAAGTGCGAGAAAAATGTTAAAAGCATGACGAGAAACTTGAAGTAATTAAAGAAACAAAGTTGGCATTGATGGAATAAGTGCGCTAACTGCAACAGTCGGCTGCAAAATAGAGGAATTTAATTAAATTCGACGAGAGAAAAAAACAAGATTAATCGACGCGAGTTTCTTTAGTTTATGTTAATTGTGACGTAAAACAGAGCGAGTAAAAACGTCGACGATAAATTGAAAAGAACAGATCCAGATATGATTTTTCCGGGTTTTTGTGTTATTCCAGCTGTTGGATGTCGTTATTTAATTGGAGGAAACTGACTTGTATGAGCGTAAACCTGGAAACGGGCGAATTCCTGGAAGATCGTTATGGAGAGTCTAAATAGACTTTTCTCAGCTTATTTGTCCTTTTTCACGCGTAAATTTCAAATTAGAGGCTATCAGACACGAACATAGAAATAAAACAAAGACAAGCCTGGCAGCACGAAAAAATAAAAAAAAAGAAAATCGAGAAATGATAAATCGATTTTGAGTAAAATTAAAGAATAAAATAAATTATACCCAAAGACATATTTTATTGTTTTCCGTTCCACTGCGTATGAGTTTGTTGTCGGTTAGTCAAAAAAGGGAACTACGAGTAGTAGTAACATTCTGTTTGCGAACCTGCTAACACTCATGAGTAATAATCATTAATCAAAAAATAAGTTGTACTTGATTCAGCTATAAAAATATGAAAAAATCTCTTCACATTTTCTAGATTTAGCAAACCAAAAATATTATTGTTGGTTCTCCAGACTATATCTGTTTTAAAATATATAAATAAACATACCTACTTGGAACAATACTATAACATTAATTACTTTATGTATTAACTTTTTGAAATGCTCCTCTATCAAAAACCGAGAAAATGTAATTTAAAAGTAATATATCAGGTGAATAAAAAGTATGGAAGCGTTTTTCTCGTAAACTAACCACTTTAAAAAAAATTTCGAAAAATGTTATTCTTGATAAATGGTCACATTTTAATTGGACTTTACGCTACACTAATAATTTTTTTTGTAAAGTGGTTAGTTTACGAGAAAAACGCTTCGTTCCATACTTTTTATTCACCTGGTATGTAAATTATTTGATAACATATGTAACATATAGGGTGTTTTATGGTCTTAAGGTTAAAATTTAAATGAGATGATATTCACGGTAGAAGAAAACTAATACGCTATATAAAACAAAAATTCACGTTGTGAAAGGAAATAATTCATTTTATATTATTTGTTTGAGAACTGCTGCTTCGGCTGCAACAATGGCCATTAATATCATTACCTTGTATATTTTTTGCCATATATGTTCATAAATTTGGAAAAAATAAGAAAAACGAATCAAACCTACTGGAAACCATTTCACTGGAAGAGATTAAACAGAAGATCTTTAAATTTTGATAAAAACTGCAAAAGCAAATCAAATGATGACAGTGTCAAAACTACGAAGTGACTTTTCTTTTTCGTTGTCATGGATACGATTTATTTATTTGTTGTAACAATATAATTTTATCTGAACAATACCAGTGACCAATATTTCGGAGTTAAATAACATTCTTAATAATAACAATTGTGTGAGTTTTTTTCTCGGTTAAAGCATTTCTGTACTCTTCTATTAGGTACTAGAAGAACTCCAAGACCGTAAACATTCTGTATATTTAAAAAATCTATCCACTTCTATATTTTTTCCATAATTAACCCCATTAAAAAAAAAGATTTGTAACTCTTTTTAAATTTTATTGATTACTAATTAAGTTAACAAGTTTAGTAGTTCTAAGAAAACGATTTTTTTAAATTTTCATCTGTTATTATTATGTAGGACCACAAAATATTCTTATACAGAAGTCTTAAATTTGAATCGTGTTTTTAGTTTTTTTTTATACAGATGCAGTGTAAAAATAATATAATACATATGTATAATACACGCTATGCGCATTTTATAAGAATTTGTTTTTGTATTTCCCCATATGTGTTCAATTTTGAAAACTTTCACAAAAATTTTCTTTTTCAAAACCTGCTTACATATAAAATTTTACAAAGATTGCGTTCAGACATCTGAAATACTGAAATAAAAAGAAAAATCTCTTGAATTAAAATCTCCAATCACTCATACCTTTCGTACGTCAAAAAGTCGTTAATGTTAAATTCAATTTCAGTAAAAATTTAGATTATTAAAACTGGCTTATTTGTACTCTCGAAATTAATAAGACAACCATCTAAAATTAGAAAAAGTAAAAAGAACTCAAAAAAAATTGGATAAGTCATTGATTCCAATTGATACTGATCGTAGGTATTATATGATATCTCTTTACTTTTAAGTTTGTTATAATAAAAAATGAAGTTCCTTGTAAGTTATTATTTTTGGCTACACATATTTAAAAAAAAACAGTGCCCATAAAACTTGTTAAATACCAAAAATTTTAAGAGCTATTTTTACATTTTTCAAAAAAGTTTGATAGTAATTTCTTTAAAAAAAATCGATCACTCTTACGAGTATACTTTTATAGAAACAAAACATTAAGGTAGAATAAAAAGACTAAATTTCCATTTGTAAATTTGCCAAAAAATGTAAAAAACTGAATATTGTACTTCTGTGAGTCAAAAATCGGTCAAATCCAGACAAACCACCAATTTGTGTGATGATTTTCTAATTCGTGGGGCTATTTTTAGTAATTCCCGTCTGGCTATTAATATACGCCAGATGTACGAAACTGAAAAATTTTAAAAAACTCATTCTTTCCGAAAATCTTAAAAGTGTTTCCTAAAATCGTGCGAGGAAGAAAATCGAGATCAACGTTCTTTCTGCATCGTTGGTCGGTTGTGACGGCAGCACACTCATGTTTATCTCAGAACACGCAACAAAACTTTAACGATGTTTGTATCGGCGAGGTTTATTTGGCGTATAAACGAAATTAGACGCACAGAACAGGTACAAATTAACAGAAAAATTACGAAACAGCTTCTGTGCCAACACACCTAACGTCTTTCCGGCGTCGCGCACCGTCTCTAAAACTAAAGGAGGTTAAAAATAAACAGATTTCGCTATGACTGGCTACAGAAACGACAACACAACTACTAGAACTCAAAACGCTACTCTCATCTCGAGACGATCTTGTGTCGGTTCCATAATCCGCGTGGTTTTGCACCTAAAAGTCACAAAAAAGTACCGATATGGCGATTGCCGTAAAACCGAGTGTTTATGTTCGCAGCTAATTATAAAGTGGTAAGCGCTGTTTTACGAGCTAAATTTAGTCCATTCATTGGGACAATGGACTTGCGAGATGAGGTGAAGTGATCGAGATGTTTACTTCGTTTAAATTGCCGTCTCTGAGACCCAGGGCCAAAAGTCTCTCGGAGGATGTGCCTCCCAGCATTCTCTGCAAACCTCCCAAGACGCCTATCAGCAGTCCGAAACAGAAACATGGCAAAAGTAAAGTATTTTGTGCAAAGCTAACGACAAATTGAAAATTAGGTGCAAAAGTGACTTGAGACTGGGCTTGAGGCAAAAGCCCGCCAAAATGTACTCAGAGGTTTTGCCCCTCTTGTATTTTTAGATTTCCCAAACTGATGATGTTTTCTGGTTAACTGGCGCTAGAAGCGTCGCGTGCACATTGTATTATAAATTTACCAATTGATTTCTTTAGATATCAAATATTTTTCTAAACTTTATGATAATTAAACCAAAAATGTAACTTAAATTCTGACAACGCAAAAAATACTTTCATAAAAATTAAAAAAAAATAGTTAACAGCACAAACGGTCTAAACTACAAAATGTGTTTGAATCTTAGGTATTAATTTTCAAACCTATTCCATTGTAATTTTAATAATCATTTTAATAAGAAACAACCAAAACTTAAACTCTAGACAACTATGAAGTCACATATTTATTATTAAATTCAAGGCGATTTTCTTATTAGATTTTGGCTATCGAGAAAAATCTTAGCCTACGCCAATGGTTCCCAAAGTAGGCTTCCCGGAATATTGCAGAAACTTCATCATATTTTTTTAGTTTTTATCGATCGCATTAGTGTTAATATTGTTAATGAATAAATAATAAATGGATAAATTTCTTCAATATTGCAGTTGTTTGAGTTGTTCAGTATGTATCCAGTATAGATAATAATTTCTGTTGTTATATGTATCCGTGTTCTATTTATTTTGACTTAGAATAGGGCGCCAGCGTCGTGGAATCAAAATTTTTGTAAATCAAGCAAAAACTCGAATTATGTTTTTCAGAGTCGACTTTGACATTTATTTGATGATACATTTTTTAACATTGTACCAATAAGATGCAAGTTTACAAAAAGCTTAGAAATTTCACTTTTATCTTCGATTTCACTAGATTGTCTAAATATTGTTTTCGCTTTTTCTTGTTGCTATAGATACTCAATATAGCAAATGTCGAAAATAGATTAGAAAAGACATAATAGTATATTATGACACTAGTTTATAAGCAAGCCTTTAAAACACAAACGACGGGTGTCAGAGCACGACGCGTCAGCGGAGTGGTTTTAACGTCGTAAGTGTTTTAAAGGCGCTTATAAACGAGTGTTATACGCTATTTTTTATTATACCTGCCCATTTACGATCTTTTATGAGCATTGAAAAAATGTGAATTTACACAATAAAATTATCAAAGGTTGTTTGTGAATCGTTTTCGTAGAGATGGTTACTAGTTTACGTTGTTAAGCACATTTTTTCACGTTGTAATTGGTCAAGACATTTCACTATTTCTTGATACCTAGACAACTTTAAAATTCAGCGTGCTATAAAGGCCAAATTACGCACACTGCAGCGTGTTTTAGTTATGATGCAGGTATAATAAAAAAGTAAATTGTAGTAAACACTCAAAAAAAAATACTATTATCAGATTCACGGACTTAGTCTTGTGCGTCATCAATTTCATTTTTTCATTACAACACAAAAGTAAAAAAAAAATCATCACAATGTAAATTTTAACAATTAAAAGGTATCTAGACTTATTTTAAGCGATGTACAGGGTGCTGCATTTTGGATGTCCGAATCTCCGAAACTAAGAGGTTTAGCCAAAAACGAGTAATACATTCTGGGGCTCATTTTTTGAGAAAATAATATTGGTTAACACCGCATTCCCCTATAATCTTTTGTTTTCGACTTAAAGACAAAAATTGACATTTTAGTGAAATCTAAAAAAATTCATATCTTCGTTATTATAGAAGACACAGATTTGAAATAAAGACATTATATATTACGGCTAAACTAATAACTGAAAAAAATTGTTAACTACATTATTAAATTCCTCGTAAAAAAATGCTTCGATAATGTCCTATTTCAAATCCGTATCTTCTATAATAAGGAAGATATGAATTTTTATAGATTTCGCCAAAATGTCAACTTTTGTCTGTAAGTCGAAAACAAAAGACGATAGCGAAGATGCGGTTTTAACCAATATTATTTTCTCAAAAAATGAGCCCCAGAATGTATCACTCGTTTTTGGCTAAACATCTTAGTTTCGGAGATTTCCTATTCGGACATCCAAAATGCAACACCCTGTACAGATTTTACTCCTATTATATTTACTTTTTGAATCCATAAGTTTGTAGGTACTACCTACTTTATAATTAATTTCTTTATTAGAGCTTGTTCCAAATCTGGTGGCGAACTGACATTGTCAAAAATGACTGCATTTTGATATTGAACATATGTTTATATTGTTCATAGGCGTCGTATGAAATATTATTTCAAAACCACTGTTATTCTTTAAAAAATTATAATAAGTAGGTACTCGAACATTTAAGATGAAGAATGATGAACAAATTATTAAATTGTTAACGCATGAAAAGAATTTTCAAAAATGATATTCCTAACAATTCTTGTCTTCAAAATTTTTAGAGAAAAAAAAAGCACGCCCATGAATTTTTTTATCTTAACCAAGTGGGCGCACTCCAAGTGTCTTTTCTGTCACTGTCAGTTCGCCACCAGATATGGAAAAACCTCTAGCTACAGGGTACATGAATATTGTATTGTGTCTACAGCTATAAAATCATGAAATATTGAAATCTGTTGGAATTTATTCCATGTCTCTAACTGTTAGAATTTTAAGGAAAATCAAACATTTGCAATGAAATCGGAAAATTGGAGACTATATTGAAAAAGTTATTTTTAAAGTGTCTCTGTATCTGCTGTTTTGAAACAAGATCTCTATAAGTTTTCCGTTTCTTAAAACAAGACTGTATTTTAAAATATGATCCATTTTACGTAGAAAAATGATTTAACATAGAGTAAATAAATACTGTTTCCTGACGGAATTACAAAAAAATCGTAGGAGGAATCGTATTCTTTAACATTTTGATGCAAAATTTTTTAGAATCGGACTTGAAGAAATATAAAATTACAAGTGTGGGTGAAATTATGGTGCCCAAAATAAAATTTGGTCGCATATACGGGCCAAAAACTTGCCTGAAAACTTTTGCCCTTGTTGTATTTTTAGCTTCCCCAACTAATGACATTCCTTAATCAAGTCTCGCAGGCATCGTAGCGTACATATGCCATTACTGTCAATTTCTCTCATTTCATTTGTTTTCTCTAGCACTCCATTAAAATAGTTACAATTCAATGGAAAATAAATAGACACACCTCAACATATTGCAAGCAGATGTATGTAATTTGGCATTTCAACAAATTTATGATAATTTTTAAGTTCCATTATCACTCGCTGAATCACGCACCACGTGCGTCTTATTTAAACTATAGATCATTTTTCCTAGAAAAACATCGCGACCTGATTCCACTTAATTATCGCCATCAATGAATTAAACCGACCGTAAAAAATCGCAATTATCTGTTTGAAGGAAACTCGGAATTGGAGCCATGTCCTAGCATCGCGTCGCTTCGTCCCGGATCGGTGGCCTTGACGAGCGAACAACTGCTTCCTGGAGATCGCATCTACAGCGTGAACGGCATTAACACTTCCCGCATGCGGCCCGAAGACGTCTCCAAGTTGTTGGAAAACGTCGACGGAAACGCCCTCCTTGAAATACAATACTCCCTCCCCAACTACGGTAACACACTTCTAAATCACACCAACCCTCGACTCACTTTCATGATGTCTTCAGCTTCGCAAAGTTCCCTCTGCGTGACCTCCAAAGTGACCGAAGTGACCCTCGAGCGAATCGAGGGCTCACTCGGAATCACGTTACGGGGTGGTTCTGTGCCCGAACACCCCCATCTAAGCCGGCCATTGGTCATAACTCACGTGAGGCACAACGGCCCCGCCCATAGAAGCGGTTTGATCAGAGTGGGAGATCGAGTATTAAAGGTCGATCATCAACCGCTGGTTCACAAAACATTACTTGAAGCTCAACAAATACTAAAAGACAACTCGACGTATGCTTTCGCCACGTTGACTATTGAATATGATGTCAGCATTATGGAATCGGTTAAGTATGCCCAAGGGGCTTTATTGGTCGAGATTGACCGCCAAACCGAAGAAGATTTCGGTTTGGTTCTAACCAACTGTTGTGAACTAGGCCCGGATGAGATTCTCGCAGCTGGGTATTTTGTTGATCACGTGGTACCGGCGAGTACTGCTGATAGGTGTGGGGCGTTGAATCCTGGTGATCAAATTTTGGCTATAGATGACTTGATTTTGGAAAACTGGAATGGAAGTACCAACGACGCGGAAAGGTTGTTACGAAGAGCCACCAAGTTGCAAATATTGCCCTATCATACGGTACAAAGGGCAGGATCAAGAAATTACGCCAGTTTTAGTACTCTGAACTCAAGGCGATCCCGGAATCGGGTAAAAAGACAAAGTATTTTTCATAAATCGGTTGATGGAGATTCGGGGAGTAATTTTTGTGGATGTACTGGAAATATGGGAGTTTGTCATGTTGAGTCTCTCACAACGACTCTAGTCTCAGATCGAGGGTACGGTTTTACAGTTTCTGTAGGAGAACACAGTGAGAATAGAACAGCGGATATATTAATTTCGAGGATTTTGCCAGACTCGCCTGCATATAGGTAGGTACTGGAAGCTTTTCTGTAAAAAAAAATCAATATGGTACATTTTTCTAGATGCGGGTGTCTCCAAGTCGGCGATCGCATCATTTCAGTTAACCACCAATCAAATTTGACCCTTCAAGAAATCAACTCAATTTTAGACCTTGGCAACGACTCCAATTCTAAACTAACACTCGAAATTGAATTTGACGTCGCCGACACCATTGTACCATCAAGTGGCATCTTTACTGTCAAGCTACCAAAACGAGGTCCAGGTCTCGGAATCACAATAACGGCGTCCAAAACTTGTCCAGATGAACCTTTCCTAATCTCGGAAATCCGTCGAGGATCAATCGCACACAGAATCGGTACTTTACATGCCGGCGACCGTCTTTTAGCAATAGACAACAGACCCTTAGACCATCTAAGTCTCGAAAGTGCTTTTGAAATTCTTCAAAGTTCCACAAATGACATCGTCACTCTCAAAATTGAAAAAACCGAACTGGAAAACGCAAATTTATTCCTAGACAGTGTGGTCTATACTGTTGAGTTGCACCGCTATGGAGGACCCTTAGGAATTACAATTTCGGGAAGTGAGGATTGTAACGAACCCATAGTTTTGTCGAGGTTGACTGAAGGAGGTTTAGCTGAAAAAACAGGAGCACTACATGTCGGAGACAGGATTCTAGCAATAAACGGGGAAAGTCTCGAAAATCGTCCATTGAGTGACGCCATTAGACTACTCCAGACGTCTGGAGATCGCGTCCAGTTGAAAATTGCCAGAAACATCAAAAATTCAGATTCTGGAATTGAAGAGGGGAGATGTAACTATTCCAGTCCTGGTGTGTTAAGTGTCGATAGTGCGGTTCATTCATGGGATAGCAATACAGCTGACAATACCAACGACCATATCGGTGCCTAATATATGATTTTTTCTACAACAATTACAAAAACTATTTTTACAGATGTTCAAATAAAAGATGAGGAAAGCGTCTTAAGCGAACCCCTCTCTCTACCCTATCAAGACAAACAAAAGAAACACGATTCCCAACTCCAGTTCTACTCAGATGCCGAAGACATGTTCTGTCCCAGCCCCCTCCCCCTCCCTAATTACAACTTCACTAACCCGAACTACGGCCAATCTTCGGCAAACTTCGTCAATCGTTTGCAGGGGACGTACAGTAATGAAAGCATCCAAGATCACGAAATCTACCATGTGACTCTTTATAAAGATTCAATCTATGACGATTACGGATTCAGCGTTAGCGATGGTCTCTACGAGAAAGGAGTGTATGTGAACAGGATAAGAAAAGGTGGCCCTGCTGATATTGTAGGACTTTTGAAGCCCTACGACAGGATAATTCAAGTGAATGATACCAAAACGAAGGATTTCGATTGTTGTCTTACCGTGCCTTTGATCGCCTCAGCTGGTGACCGAATTGAGCTATTGATTGCCAGAAATCCGTATTTAAATTTCACAGAAAGGGTAGGTGAAACTGATAAAAATAATAGGTAATTACTGAAAATTGTTTCAGGATCTTCAGGACAACGTCTCGAAAAAGTCGTTTTCCGCCAGTCAGAACACTATTACCAAGACTTTGTAATTTATACGTTATGTAATTCCAGAGTGGCACAAATATATTTATTTTTTATCATTGTAAGGTGTTGAATTAATAAACTTGTAAAAAACATAACCAATACATTTTTAATTTTCCGTTTTATTGTTAAACTGAGTAAATTATTTTAAAAATAATGCACGTTTTGTTTTAATGTACTACTGTCTTAAATAAAATTTTCAAAAAAAAACTACAAAGCTCGTACAATACATTCCTGACATGCCACATGTACAGTTGCGGAATTAAAATTTCGGGCAGTATTGTCATTTTCACAATGTAAACTCTAAAACAATCTTTACATTAATAATCTCATTTTTCACTCTTGTCATGTTTATGTCATTGTGACTTGAAATAGCGTCACTGACAGAAAAGTTCAATTGTCAAATGTCAGTCATGATGACAGGAAAAGGTATAGTTTACAGTGAACTTTTTGAAGTGACAGAAAAATACTGCCCGAAATTTTAATTCCGTAACTGTACATCACTGATGGTTTTAAACACATGCCCCAAGATAAGATAATGAGCCTGACAATCTGGCGATGCAACCCAAAAAACAAATTTCATTTACGTCCTGATCTAATTTTAATTACGATTTGCATTTGCAGTTCAAGTTATCTTATGTTGCTCTGATAGTGCTTTGACAAGCAATTTATGATTTATAAAAAAAATGTTTGCCTGCCTTTAATGTTTCATTCTTTCATACATTTTATATTGGGTTTACACCGAAAAGACTTCTCTAATTTCTCTTTCATTCCTCGAGAACTGAATGGCACTAATAAATTGTTCTCTGCGCTGATATCAGAGTGACATAAGATGATAACTTGGATTCAACTTGCAAATCCTAATTTAAATTGGATCAAAGGCGTAAATGAAATTTGTTTTTTGGGTTGCATAGCCAGATCGTCAGGCTCATTATCTTATCTGAATCGGCATGTATTTGGTAATATGTATTGTCTCACAGTAGTTCAAATTGCTCAAAACCGGGGCGAAATTAATTTTTTGAAGTACCTTTCTCATAGAAACACGTATCTAATTATAATGTATTGAAGTGTCTAGGGTGTAAAGAAGAAAATATGTAAAAAATTCTGTATCGGTAAAAACGCTAACTGAAATTACTAAATTTGGATAGTTTCTATTTCTATAAAAATTTGCAGTTTTCATCTGACACAAAGAACATTTAAAGTAGCTCTAAAAATTCTACTTTTATTACAATATTCTTATATTAAATTTCGATAAAAATCGAAAAAGCTAAAAACTTCAAAATTGAATCATTTGCACTCTTGGGGGTTCAAAAGACTCAGAAAAGTATAAAAACGTAGCAAAAATACAAGAAATAAATTTTTGAAAAATTTTCTGTAAGTCTTTATGAATATACTGAATTAAAACATTGAGACTGTCGACCGACGTGGTGGTATAAGATCCCGCTTTCCAGCAGGTAGGTCCAGTTTCGAACCCTGGTAAAGCCAGTAATTTTTCACAAATTCAAATTCAATTACTAATTCAAATTAGCATTAAAAGATGGAGGGCGCATAAGAGCGCAAACCCTTAAAAAATATGTGCGCACATATTTTCATAAGTATAATAAGAAAAAGAAGGAATAATCATAAGAGCAAATAAGAACGAAGTAAAAAAGAGACAGAGCATAAGAACAAATAAGAAGTATGGAAAAGCGCATAAAACCAACTGAAAAAAGCACTAAAAGACAGCGAGTGTATATGAGCGCAAAATTTAAAACATGTATCTGCTAAAGTGTTAAAAATGTATAAGTGCACAAAAATAAGTTAAAATGTAAGTTTTGTAGTAAAAATAAAAGAATTTTTTTTATTAATTATTATTGCTAATAATTCAAATAAATGTAAAAGATAAGAGCACCAAAGTTTTAAAACATGTATGTACAGTTGGAGACAAAATACTTTGCTCGTCACTTTTCTGACACTTTAATGTAATTCAAGCTTTAACGTTAAAATGAATGACAATTTCAAATTAATGACAGCTGTTGTATTTTCCTATCAAAAATATGTACATACAACTTGTCAACTATGATTGACAGTAGCTAAAAATAAGGTTAACAGTCCTAAAGCATGCTTTACAATTTAATGTCACTCGAGTGACATTGACGACCAAAGTAATTTGTCTCCAACTGTATATAAATGTATTACTGAAATGAATATAAAGTAAGTAAAATGAAATATGTATAAAGTAAAAGCACAAATTATTACTAATAGGCAAGCAATTATACACCAAAATAAAGTCAATTCAAAAATGTACGCATGTACCTTTTGCCATCAGAGCTCAATTCTAATTGGTCGAAAACTAAAGCAGATGTCATGTTGACAGCTCATTGACAGTTGTGATTGCCAGCATGGCTGACCGCAAACACACTCGAGAGATACTCACCGTATTAATCCTGTGTGTTTTGTGGTACGTTGTCAGCTCAAGCAACAATGTCATCGGCAAAACCCTCCTCAACGAATTTCCCTATCCGATGACGATGACAATGGTCCAGTTGCTGTCAATCACCGTTTTCAGTGGCCCCCTTTTCAACTTGTGGGGCATTCGCAAGTACGCAGACATCTCCTGGAGGTACTACTTCACTCTTATTGTTCCCCTCGCCTTCGGGAAGTTCATAGCATCCGTATTCTCGCATGTCAGTATTTGGAAAGTGCCAGTTTCTTACGCTCATACAGGTTTGAGGTTAAGTTTCTAGGTTAACATATGTTGATGATTTTTTTCGTAGTTAAAGCCACTATGCCGCTTTTCACCGTTGTTCTTTCAAGGATTCTCATGAAGGAGAAGCAAACACTTAGGGTTTATTTCAGTTTAATCCCAATTATTACTGGGGTAGCTATTGCCACCATTACTGAAATTAGTTTTGATGTAATTGGGTTGATCAGTGCTCTGGTTGCAACCATGGGATTCTCATTAATGAATATTTTCTCAAAGAAAGTCTTGCATGATACAAACGTTCATCATTTGAGGTTGTTGCACATTTTGGGGCGACTTGCACTCGTTATGTTCCTTCCAGTTTGGGTCCTTGTTGACATGTTCCGCCTTTTGAAAGACGACACTGTTGTAAATGTATCAAATTTTCTGGAGAAAAAAAATCTCATCAGTTTGTTGCAGAAATACCACGATTATAGAGTTATAGGACTTTTAATCATGGACGGAGTTCTCAACTGGCTTCAGAACATCATTGCATTCAGTGTTTTGTCTTTAGTGACCCCTTTGACATACGCCGTCGCTAATGCCAGTAAAAGAATTTTCGTAATAGCAGTCTCATTATTTATTTTAGGAAATCCCGTGACCGGGGCTAATGTTTTTGGGATGCTTTTAGCAATTTTTGGGGTTTTATTGTACAATAAGGTGATTAATTTTTCCCAAATTGTACAAAAATAATGTAAAATTGTTTCAGGCGAAATACGACGCCAAGCAAACGGAAAAGAAACAAACAATACTTCCATACAGCCAAAATAGTTGGCAAGACCGGACGGGTTACACCGTCTTACAAAACGGTGAGGCCGTAAAACCGGTCAACGGTTTCACAGTCGTCAACGCCTCAAATAATAATTCATTTGTCTACAACTCAAAGTCCAGTTCTAGTAATTTATTGTTTGTGTGAGACACGTTAAGCTTAGCCATAATTTTTAATGTTTACGACGGGATTTGAAATCCTGTGACAATAGCGAAATTATCTTGGTTGTAAATTTAGAAGTTGTAAGATGCTAAAGTGATCTGCAAACGGAAGTTCTCGCTAGTCACGAAAGTGCTTTTTACGAATGTTACCAAACTCGAAATTTACTTGTTTTTGTTGGTGCTCAACTACTTATTACTTTTCTAAAGACTCCTTTAATTGTTGTTAAGTAGGTAATGAAAGTGTACCTAATTGTACATATTATATAGTTGTGTTTTATTTATTTATATATTCATCAAGTATTGTGGCCTCTATGATGAAAAAATGCAGTCGCGGTTGATTTTTTAATGATACCATTGTTTTGATCATACAGTATTTATCAGCAAAAGTGTACATAAAAAAGAAAATAAATATTTTTATACAAATTTTCATTTCGATCTTTACTCCTAACTAAACACATATTTTAATGGTTTTAATAATTCTTGTAAACTAAACATTCAAGGATACCTTATCAAAAAATATCGCAAACAATTATTAAAATAAAAACTCATGAAGTCGATACATAATTACATATAAATATATCGTTTAATTGCCTTCTAATCGCCTCAATTCACAGTTATCACTTTCCACGAACCATTATCCGATGAATTTTATGATATTTCGCATTGTTTCGGAAATCATTTTACATTTCACTTTTTTTTCGTAAAACAAATATATGATTACTGATATGTATTTTCGTAATTTTACTTATAATCACAGCAATCACACTCATATACACAAATCGATCAATGAAAAATATATAAATCTGCTGACTAAATAAATAAAAAGGAGTATGATATTAATTTATACGAACATTTATTAAAGTTAAAAGGGTAAAATACATTTTCCAAAGTTTAAAAAATTATCATAATGAACAAGAATTATAATCAACTTGCACCAAATTTCTTTATACAAGTGATAAAAATATTCTCTTCCGTAAATCTAGACAAAATTTAAATTAAATACTGATAATTATTGTTAGCAATTTTTTTAGATTAGAGTTAACTTTGAAAAATTAGTCAGATGAACTGTCACCGTTTGTCAATAAAGGTGTTGAAGGTAATTTTGATCTGTCTATTCGCTTTTGAATATTTTGGAATAATTCTACGATCATTTTTATAACAAATAATCACTTTTTGGTAGTCTGTAACTCTTAAGGTATTTAGAACATTTAGAAAATTAACCATTAACCCTTGCAGAACTAAAACTTGTAAGTCTACGCCCGCCGTACGTTGTAAACAGCTTTTCATTTAGTTTTGTTAAACCACAATGTTATGGCATTATGAAAAAGTGTACGTAAGAGAAAACTTCAAAATACTGAAATGCATATGTAGTTCTGACAGATCAAAATTATGTCTATAACACGATAAGCGTATAGTTTTTAAGGCATAAACAACTTTCGTTTCAACTGATCTGTTTTAAGAAACTTTGTGCCCAAAATTTTGCCTGCGACGTCGAAACAACTTACAGGGTACTTCTTTTTTACTTTTGTAATTAAGTTATAGTTAATCCTAATAAATTTCAACTAGAAATGAATATGATACAAAATGGCAAATTAATAGAATGGGGAATGCGGAAAACGAATTAAGTCAAGCGTTTATTGCCTACAAATTTACTTTCTAGAAAAAACAATTTATGGGTAGTAAAAGCTCCCATAAAAAATACTCCTAACCGTTTTTTAAATCAAGAGTAATGTTGAAGAAACTGCTTGGTGATGACAATTATTATTTTTGTACAATTTGTAGCCATTTGTTTTTGCATTTAAGCTACAATACTACGATAATTAAAAACTAAAAATATTGTCGGGTAGTTTACTTTTGGGCTGCTCTGTATAATGATATCTTCTGAAGCTAGTAAAACATATTTTTAATAACTTTTGTAGCCATCAGAATTTATTGCAAAATTTGATAAATTGGTTACAAAACTTATTGGCACATTAAGTTTACTTATTTTTTATCTTAATTTCAACATTTCCTGCATTTTTAAGAAATAATAAGTTTTCATAAAAAATATCAAAAAACCTGAGTTGATGTTTATCAATGCGAATTTTTAGCGTGCCGCGCTAATCATCAGCCTGTGTGTATTTCCACTTATCGCATATAAAATAAGGTCAGTATTACATCATAAAATAACAACGATACTCAAGTTTACGATAGTTGTTCATTACATTGATAAACAATTAACGTTTCGCAATTCGCTCTCGGCCAAAAAATAAGAAATTCATCGATAATTCAGCGTCGGCGCTCGAAATTTTCTCGCCCGAATCTGTGCATTTCGGTGTGTAACCTCCCAGCAAAGCAATATCAAAGTTCAATAAGATAGGCTCTATCAACGTAATCAAGGCCACTGCCGTTACTCGAATAAGCCCCATCTGACTAACAAATCAGTTTCGTTAACACATAATGACAACGCACACAATTCGATAAAATGGGCATCAACATCAATATCGACCAACCCCGCTACGACCAAGAGACCTACTCGGGAAGGGCCAAACACTTCTTCTTGACCACCAACCCCATCAACATCTTCGTGAGCAATGGCCAGTTGGAGGAAGCCAAGAACCTTGTCACGGCTTACAGGTAATGACTGTCATTTAATGAACGCTCAAAGGCACCGCAATTTCCAGGAATAAACAGCCCCTCCCTGAGGGAATCACCGAAGAGGACCTTTGGCGCGCCAAAACCCTATACGATTCGGCCTTCCATCCCGATACTGGAGAAAAAATGAATATTATCGGGAGGATGTCGGCACAAGTACCTATGAATATGTTGATAACTGGAGGAATGATGACCTTTTATAAATCCACCCCAGCGGTCGTCTTCTGGCAATGGTTGAATCAGTCCTTCAATGCTCTAGTCAATTACACCAACAGAAGCGGCGATGCCACCTTCACGGAAAAACAAATTCTGACGTCTTATGTGATGGCAACAGGGGGTGCAGTCGCCACAGCACTCAGCTTAAACCGAATATGTCGGGTAAGTCAGGTTGATTTTGATCTCTAGTGCTTTTATAATTATATTTTATATTATTTTTTATATTATACTTTAGAGTGCACCACCTCTTCTGGGCCGATTAGTGCCCCTTGCAGCCGTCGCTGCTGCCAACTGCATCAATATACCTCTCATGCGATCGCAGGAATTGCAGGAGGGGACTCCAGTATACGACGAAAACAACAACAAACTAGGATACTCGAAAAATGCAGCTCAGTCGGGCATCGGTCAAGTGATTTTCAGTAGAGTTTGTATGGCCACGCCTGGAATGTGTGGGTATTGCAAAAATGTGTGGTCATCAGTCTTGAATGATATTTTCCAGTCCTGACTCCAATTTTGATGAATTATTTGGAGAAAAAAGGAGCGCTAAAGAAGCGTCCTTGGATTAATTTGCCAGTTCAAGTGGGTTTTGTTGGACTGTGTTTGACGTTTGCGACGCCTCTGGCGTGTGCATTTTTCAAACAGAAGGCTCAGTTTGAGTACAGAAAGTTAGAACCGGAGTTAAAAGTAATAATTGGCACTTGTTCGTGATTTGCTATTTCATAACTGTTTTGCTTTTCAGGAATGCATCGAAAAGAAGTACCAAAGTCCACCGAAATACGTATTTTATAATAAAGGTCTGTAATAAGCAAAATTGGCTCCAATAATAATTAATTATGAAATAAAATAGTAGTCATTTGTTATGTCCTGTGACAATAAAAAGGTTTCATTTTATCGTTTTTCTTTCATTTTATTTCATATTGGCAAGGAGTGCCACAAACAAAAATCTGGAAAAACCTCTTTCCACTGTCACAATCAACTGTCAATGTCATCAATCCCACTTTTCCGCAGATACACAATTATCGGCCATGTTCAAGAACAAATCCTCTCTAAATTAAAATTACCGTGAAAAATGTGCAGTAACAAACATGTAGGAAGACTTAATCTCGACGAGTCTCAGTACGACCAAGATACATACTGGGGTCGTTTCCGCCACTACTTTCAACGAACCAACCCCTTTAATCTTTTCACTAGCTCCGATACATTGGAGGATTCCAAATGTCTATACCTCAAATATCGGTAACTGCTCCGTAATCCAGACCCCAAATTTCCAATATTTTCCAGATGTGGGGAGCCTTTGGCGGCTGACGTAACCGAAGATGAAATTTGGAGAGCCAAAGCCTTGTTTGAGTCGGCTTACAATACAGAAACCGGCGAAAAAATAAGCTTTTGGGCACGGCCAGCGGCTTTTGTCCCCGTCAATATGGTACTAGCTGGAGGGATGATGGCGTATTATAAGTCCACTCCAGGGGTGGTGTTCTGGCAGTGGTTGAATCAAACGTATAATACTTGGGTTGGTTATAAGAATAAAAGCTCGGATGACGAAATTACTAACACGCAATTGATTACGAGTTATGTGGTGGCGACTGGTACTGCTATCGGTACTGCATTGGGGTTAAACCGGCTTTTGGTGAATTCGCCATCTTTGGTGGGGCGGTTTGTGCCGTTTCTGGCCGTAGCGGCGGCGCATTGTGTCGGTACGCCGCTATTGAAAGCTCAGTAAGATTATCGTTCACATAAATAACATTAATTTATTAATGATTTTAAAGGACACTAAAGAACGGTACTCCGATTTATGACGATTGTCACAACAAATTGGGGTATTCGAAAAATGCAGCATATGCTTCTATTAGTGACTCTATTGTGAACAAAATTTTTATCGCCATGCCCCCCATGAGTGAGTATTTTGCTTTTAAACAGCTGTATTTGAAACTTTTGTTTCAGTACTGACTCCATTGATGATGAATTATTTAGAAAGAAGAGGTACTTTGTGTCGGTACCCTTGGTTGAATTTTCCCGCCCATGCTGGTTTTGCTGGTCTTTGTCTGACTTTCCTCTCACCATTAGCCTGTGCCTTGTATGCCCAAAGGGCTCACATGCCTTACAAACACTTAGAAACCGATATGAGGGTTGGTTACCTAAAGTAATCTTTCTTTTAGTAATTTTTTATCTCCAGGAAGCTCTATGTAAAAAATTCTACGATCGTCCCCCTAAATACGTTTACTACCAGCAAAATGTCTAGTTCCGTCTACTTAAAATAAAATACTGTTGCTATAAATATCATTTATTCTATTGCGTTTTTCATGTTAGACAATTAAGAGTGAATCGTCCGGGAATACTTTCGGTTGGACAGCTTTCCAAGCCGCGTGAAGTACTTCACTCGGACTTTTCGTAACTTTAACAAGTTCAGGTAAATGTGGGAAAGCTGACACATATCCTGAAAAACGCATGACTAACAACCCACAAAACAGCACGCACATACCGGGGAACCACGCGGGAATCTTCGACCCCCGAATTTGAATTTTAGTTTCGTAAGGTACGACATCGGCATCAAGGAAATAATCGATGCCGTTGGACAATTCCTGACTGACGTCAGCGGGGGATTCGAGTGCCGAAAGATCACTCGTGTCTAAAAGATCAATTGGGTCCCCTCCCACCAAATTGGAAATTTTTCGAACGGTGAAATCCTCCCAAGGAGCTGCCTCGCCCTCCAAAAACATTTCAGGGGTTTTATTCTCCCCTAAAGAATGTCAGTATTAAATGAAACACTGTTTTCGGCAAGATACCTTTAGGGGCGCGCTCCGTTGCTGAAATATTATTCTCAGTGCAAAGATCATCTTTGGGCAATTGTTGCTTGTTTTGGACTTCGGAAGTTATGAAGTCCTCCATTTCAGATGTTAATGCTTCGTCTACCACTCGTACAGCTGGATCTACCGGGACAACTACATCCTCCAAAGGTCCAGGAGCTACCGAACTGACTCTAATTCGAGGTTCGTGCACTTCGGGGAAAAGACTATTGAAAATTTGATTAGGAGCCGAGTCTGGAGTTGCCCCCTTTTCAACGGCATCTATAACAGTTGCCATAACCTCCGGAGGCGCTTCTGCATCAACTTCATCAGCAGTAGGCGCTGGATGGATGACGGACTGAGTCAAAAGACTCATAGGTTCGGCATTAAGTCTCAACCTTTGCAACTTTTTCTTTAAAGGAAACTTGTCAACAGACGAGGAGACCAAATTCGGCGGCACCATCTTCAAAGTATTCTCCACATCTTCGGTTTCTTCTTTAACTAATCGATTAACGTGATGAGGATTCAAATTCGGCTTCTTGGCTAATTTGGGGGCCTATGAAAAAAACTCTAAATCGAGCTATAACTTGTTAAATTTCCATACAATGGCAGTTTGCTTCTTGTATGTTTTTTTCAACTGTTTCCCACCTGAAGTAATCGAGAGCGTGCTAGTGACTGAAACGGTTTCGTTAATACCGGCCTGAAAATTCCGTTATTTTTGGGTTCAAAATAGAGAAAAGGTTAATACCGATTCCGTTGCATGTGTTGGGTCTCTAAAACCCCCAAAAATTAGTAAAAACAAAGTCTGTCACGTGACTCACATCTGTTGCGACGTAATCTCTAACTGCCGCGCCACCCCTGTCGGGGCTACATCAACCCCTCTCATGGTCTTGCCGATATACTCCGCCCTGGGGCACCTCTGAACCGTCGTCTCTAACGTCATTTGCTGCGCTACACATTCCTCCCCTCGTTTCGTTTGCACTTTTGGGGGTTTTATTTGTGAGTGGGAAGCAGCCACACTCCGCACTTTTCTTCCAGGGTCCGCCACTGACTTGGCTAAAGTCTGCTTGAAGACGCGTTTTTGGAATTTCGACGGCCCCTTTCGGATATCAATCAGAGGGCGTTTGAAATAATTAGGTTACTCACAGGTTGCGGAGGTTCTTCAGGTTTTACCACCCCTAATTGACGCCCAACACCGGATCGGGGATTGCGCTGGGAGACTTCAGTAACACGGGAAACTCCTCGAGGGAGTCGAGAAGGAGTAGGGTCTTGAACCACACGGTGAGAGGTTTCCGTTTTAAGTTGAGGAATACGGGACATTTTGAGCAGTTTTGTGGGTGTTATTCAAAAAAAAAAAATTTGACACAGCGGAGCTCACTTGATGCACTTTTGGGATTATCAAGCCTTCTTTCTGTTTGAGATTTGGATTATTTGTTGTAAGTTGGTGAAGGTAAATATGTGAACATACCAGCGCTGGGCGGATTAGTCGCATCTTTGTGTTGATTTTAGAGATTTCACTCGTGTTTTGTTTCTTTCACAGCTCTTGGTAATGAATTAAATTCGTTGTTTGTGTAACATTTATTATATTTGAACATTCTTTTTACAATTTTTTCTTTTTTCTTTGAAAAAAAAAAACAATATGACACAAAACTAAAATAATCTAACATAACGGTGACAAGGTCGCTTATCACAATACATAGAAGACATAATCTCTGTTTAAAAACGCATAGCCTTCTATTACGTAACATATAAAATATGATAGTACTCCCATCTGAACGAAGTCAATATCATACATAGAAAAAATAGTTGATAAGGACTTTATCACAGTCTAAACAGCGTCTTCGTGACGGCAATACAAGAGCAAAAGATCTCTCCGTGACTTTGAGTCACAAACCATTCATATTTTCATCCCGATCTACACGAACACACAGAAAACAAAACAGAATGTAACGCCTTAATAAAATTACTTTCTACTCTGTTGACGTCACAACGCCATATTTTTTCATAAATCAGTGGAAGTATTTCTATCATCCGAATCACCCAAAAATCGGGTCAATAAAAATAAATAGTACTTTTTGTAATAGCGAGTCGTTTTTTTTTATTTTGACATGGTTTCCTCCAACAGCCACTGAGTCCGATATTCCCGTTATTGCTTCGCAAATAATATTCGATAAAAAAATAACTGTGTAAATTTTGTAAGTGACTGAAATATCGAACGTTGTCGGTTTCACCTACTTCTAATTAACACTAGTGCTGTATTGTCAAAAATACGTGCATTATCAGCTTACCAACATTAAAACGGAACAAAATACGTCATCACTTTGCGTCTTATATCTAACACAAGAGCACTTCGGTAAGCTGCAACGCCCTCTATTTACAATTTTAAACACAGTTGAAACAGAAAACCATGATGTTCGGTGACCGGTTCTAATACTTACGTATGGAAAAAAATCGATAACTCAACGCACACTAAGTATGGACGATATCGAGGATTGAGTCTTTCCTCCTATTCGTATATCCCGTATCCGAATGCATCGTATTAAACGAAATCGAGCCGTAAATTCCCGCCCCGGACATCGCCGGCAGCTCTCTAGGTTTCAAATTTATCTTTTCAGTCGTTTCGTGTTTCGGACTTTCTTCTGCTAAAACTACACTCGTCGGACCATTAACCAACCTAACCTCCGTCGTCGTCGTCAACAGATACTTGAAAAATTCGTAAGTCGACCAACAAATCGCCGTCGCCGGCATTTGATACATAACTCGTGCACCCAACCCCCGAAAATACCCCGTCGGACCACCGAAAATGTACACTTTTTTAACAGCGTCGACAAGGCCAGCGGTGGTGCCTACTTGTTGTGTGTTAAGAAGGGTTTTGCAGACATCGAGAGGGGTTGTGACTGCAGCAGCCACCGCTCCAGCCAAGGCGCCGCTCACCATGTGTGCCGCGGGGTTGTATGTCCCGTCTTTGTTCGTGATTTTTTGGGCTAGTTCGTACACCATGAAATGAATGCTCTGGAATGGCACGTTCATGGTCAACTGAGTTGTGTACGAACGGTAAAATGCGGGGACTCCCTCTCGCCTGTAGATGTCGGCGAAGCAATGTACTGCCGATTTATAAGGGGAGTTTACCATCTGCATACGTTGTTTGACCACTGAAAATGTGGAAAAAGAAAAACATACTTCTGTAGGTGAAATATAATGGTAAATTACCTTCGGCTGGATTCATAATGCCGTCGTGGAGCAAAGTGGATATACAACCGGACGCTCCTGTCAAAAAATAAATTATACAATTAAGAAACAATGTTTAGTTAAGAAAAACAGCCAATCAATTACCACTTTTGTAATTTACAAACGAATAATACTGCTTCACAAATGAATTGGGGTGTAATTTTTTGCGAATTCAAAAATCACATTGTTCTAAGTTGTAAATACGTAACAATTTTATTTCTTACGAATTATTTTTACGTTTTGTAGCAAAAATAATCAATATATTTTTTTAATTGATAGGAAACGAAGAAATATCTATGTATCTAAGTCATCAAACAGTTAATTAGGTACTATACGTATAAAACAAACACATTTTTATTATTTATTGTCCATTAAAAATTGATAAGAACACCATAAAATGATGTAATTAACTTTTACCGGGTAATACATAACGATGAGAGTAAAAAATGCGGCAAAATATTAATTGCGACTGCTTGTGGAAGGATAACAATGAGTTTATTCTTGTCTGTTTTATGTATTTTAAATCAATAATATTTGTCAAGTCACGAAGCTCTATCCTTGCGGTTCAATTTGAATTGGAAACAATTCGTTCAAAAATTAATATAAATTGCAGATTATCCACTTTACGCTTTGATAATGCCACGATTAACGTCAACGCTTGCGGTTATTGAAAAAATTAAAAAGTAAGTTAATTAATGTTTGATTTTTCGGTATTACAATGACGATAAAAACTTTATTTTATCTCTGAATGATGACACAGGAAAAACATTTGTTTATAACGGTATTTACACAAAATGGACGATTGTTAAGGTGTAAAATTCGTAAGAATTAATGAACTTTTGAGAAGGTTAGTGTTACTAACAGCAAACAATTTGTTTTGATGATTTATGAACGATGGAAACCCTTAAGAAAATTTGTTAAATATTTCATGTGAACTTTAAAATGGAATAAAACAGCCTTGACGGACTGCCATGTCTTTGTTAGTGCAACTTTTGTGGTTTTTTAGACTCCGGTGATAGGAATATCTCTCTGACCAAATAGCAACGTCACTCAATTCAAATCCCAAATCTCTAATGTTTACCTTGTTTTCGCTATCTGAAGTAGCTATTTTATTTGAGAAAATCATACATGCATGCATTTCATAGTAAATTAACGCATTAAAAATCTTGTTTATAATAATATCTAATAATTATTTCATATTTGTGACACGCAAGGAATAGCAAATTATTAAAACTGAATTAAATGAAACAACTTGTTGTACGGTAAGTACGTTGGACTCTTTCAAGGTAATGCTATTTCACTGTTTTAGTTACAATCAAAAGAATTCCAAATCTGCATTTACAATAAATTATCGATGTCAGATGTTCAATTAATGTTATCACAAATGTATTTTTATTGCACTGCAAAACATACGTAATTATCGAAAGTGGTTTTTAATTCTTTTTCATGATTTTGTACAATGACTTGTAGATTAGTACTTTCCATCACTCATCAGCATAAAAGTTTAACTTTTTTCCCCTCTGCGTTTCCAAAGAAAAACATTATGAACCCAAACAGGTGTCAAAGATGCATAATGGAACGCATGCCATATTCTAAGTTTGGCGAGAGTGATACAATATACTTGTAAATAGCTTGCAATAAACGTATTAACTGTTTGTGTAATACAGAAAAAGAAAAAGCCTTTAATTAGTTTCATTAGTAAAAATTCCCCGCTTCACCACATATTCTAAGGTTGGCGAGAGTGATACAATATACTTGTAAATAGCTTGCAATAAACGTATTAACTGTTTGTGTAATACAGAAAAAGAAAAAGCCTTTAATTAGTTTCATTAGTAAAAATTCCCCGCTTCACCACTTACAATACGGGCTTTAAACACAAATTACAAAATTTATTATTGCTGAAGCATTCGTCATATTGTATAGATTTCTTGCAGAAATAAAATGGACATTTCCATATATCATAAAATCTTGAAAACTAGCAATGATAAACAGAATTTTATTAAGCCCACTTTGTTATATCTTTTTCTATCATCACTTATATTTGGTAAGTATAAGTAAGACTTTAACAACTCTTTTTCATTTTGTTTCGAGTACTAATGCGTTAAAAGAAAAAAGTTGTTCCAATCAGTAAAACTGATAATGTTGACCATGAATTAGCATTTTCGCCTTTAAACTAATGATTTATGAATTGTGAATACATATAAGTAGGCTTAAAATTTCTTGCCTAAAAATAAATCTATTTGTATGATTTTTACTATGATCTCTGAACAACACACTAATTCCTTACTTGTTAGATTAGAAAGGTCAAATTGGGTCAGGTCAGGTTTATCGTGTTCCTGAATAAAGTAATTTCTCGGCAAAAAATACAATCTCAAGTATTAATTAATTTATAAAATTATTTAAAACATTTGATTTGGGAGGGCCATAGACTGACATTTTTAAAGTTTAGATTAAATAGGTCAAACTTACTCTCACTCTTTTATGTAATAATTTAACACAAAATATTCAAGGCTGTGATAACATCAGCATAAAAAAGAAATTGTGTAAATACTCTGAAGGGGGCTTTGATAAGAGTCATAAGAACTAAAAAGCAAAGTGACGATCCATTATCGTGCATCTGTAATTACTAGCCGCTATAATGATAAAGTAATAACACTGATAAAATTAAACAATTACATATAAATCATCATGACACGGGTTTTTCACAAAAATTTCATTTTTGAATGCAAATTATCTAACACAGTGTTAAAAATTCTTCAGCAAACATGATGAAGCGTACCGTAAATAACTGTGTGATACCGGGCCGTGGTGGTCTGTTTGATGAAGATATTTTTGAGGTACTCATAGCAGCTGAAGTAGAGGGCATGTGAGGGCCCAGCCCCCACGACCATCGCCGACATGCCCCTGACCGGCCTGAAGAAGCCCTCGTGTCTCACCATCTTGAGGAATGTGTCGACTATCCCCTCACGGCCCGCCGCGGACAGCGACTGCATCCTCGTCTGGAAAGAGTGAAATTGACATAACCTCCAAGCGACTTAACCTTAAAACGTTGACGTCCGATCCGGGGCTTCCCAATCGGACCTGAGGCTGTGAAAGAGACTTACTTTGACCGAATCGAGAGGATACATTACGCAATGTTCCATTATTCCGGCTATGGCTCCAGCGGTCATATGCGTAACAACATTGTTGGTTGGTAGCGACTCATAATCCTCAAAATTCATAATAGTCCAGTGAAAGGCCGGGATTTGGGGGCGATGAGTACGTTCAGGGTCAAATTTTGGGATGACAACTTGTCGGTTGCGAGTTTTCGCTTGGCGAAATGGTCACACGAAAAATTTTGTTCACACAAGATGACACCACGCTCGAAAGTAAAAGAAAGAGAAATTTGACAGCTAACGGCAGTGCTGCCACGTTGATGACACTAATACCACTGATGGAACACGATCAAACAACAAGATGCTAAACCATTATCAAACACTGATAAGACGATCAACACAATGCAAAAGCACGAATAAATAAGCACAGTCCAGTTTACATAGCTCGAAACGATTAAATGCCTTATCAAGGAATCTATTGTTAGGAAGGGTTCGGAGAAAAAGTGAACAATGTGACAACTATGCATCCCCACTTTGCTTTTTATATCATGTGGTCAATCGAAACCCGCGCTTTTCGCGATTAAAATACGTTTTTTTAAGCAGTTCCGGCTTTAGGAGACGATGCCAAGGTCTTTTGGATAAGTGGGTCCCCCTGCAGTTACCCAATTGGTTAGTTACATCTTGTTTTTATTTATAGAGTCAGTGTTATGTAAAGTCCAGTGGCGGCGAAGCCGACATCAATTGAAAAATAATAAATTAAAAAAAAAAATTAAATTCAAGTTCTAGTCGGTGCAAATTCAATAAAATTGGCGTGTTATTACCTCAAAACTTCGAAAAAATAATGTCGATAAAATTGGGAAATTTTTTAATTTGTATTTCCACGCGAAATTTGAATTTTGAATTTAAAATTTGTAGGTAGGTACTGTTATTAAAAAGTTGTACAGGTAATATCCGGAAAAAAAATGACTAAGCAAAAATACCATATTGTTTATGTACATTTTCGTAAAATTGTTATGTGCGGTTCGATGTCCTTGATAAAAGTCTCTCCAACCGCAAGTTATGTTCAACTGATACTTAGAGATAATAATAAATTATTGTCCTTTTTTGTTAATCTGTACGTGAAAAAATGAATGGACAGATAATTTAGATAAGGAGTTAATTACTTTCGTGCTTAGTTAGGTTTATTTATTTATGTTTTGCCGCAATTGAAGGAGGGAATAGACCGTGGAAGAGCCAGTACCAAATCATCCGGTGAGCTTCTGTTATTAATTCATTTGCTTTTGCTTTAACTTCTGGTGTCAATTTTGGCGCCTCCTAAAAAACGCAATAAGGATTTCTTTTAAATCAATACTAAATTACCTGTTCAAAAGTGACCTGAGTGATTAAAGAATTGACATTTTCCTAAAAATATAATTAACAAATTTTATGTTTTGGGGTGCATTATACCTGAATTTTGATCGGTTCCTGCTTAATGTGCACTTTTTCCTACAAAAATATAAAAAAACTACATGTTCAGGGTGTTTTTGTGAAAAGTTGCATTGAGCATAGGTCATAAAAGAATCAAATAACACAAATAAGTTATATGTAAATATGCAAACAATTTTTTCTCATAAACCGAGTGTTTTAGGTATAACATTTACAAGACAAAACTAGTATTACAATATTCTGCAAAGTTCGTTCTTTAAGCCGAAATAACAAAAATATTGCAATGTGAAATCTCGCAAAATTTTAGTTGACCCGTTAATTTTGGCGGGCATGTTCTATCGAATTCATAAAAAAACTAGTACAGCAAAATTTTGTTGGAGTAAATTTGGCTACATGAAAATGTCAAATATTAACATCTGTCATTATGACAGCATGAATTTTTACTTTTTAAAGCACTAAATTCTTAAGTATGTTTTGAAAAAGACGCTAAATTGCAAATAATAGGTAGACCAACAACCATCACAAACGTATGTAGGGTGTTTACAACTGTTAAAATTAGTAACCATTTGACATATAAAGTACGTAGAAATGTTACACTACAAAATTTTTGAAAAGTTGAGGTAACTACGACCTTTTGCTGTCCTATTTTTTTATGTACATACACTCTTCTATTTTTTGGCAACGTCCGTTGTTAAATTGTGAAAATGACAAGTTGAATTTAAAAATATTTGTTTAAAAATTGACAAAAACTTTGATTTATTTTTAATAATAGAGTGAAACCATGCGTTCACTCAATAACATTTCTATTCAGACAAGCCGGGATTTTCAAAGTAAGTTTGCAACACTGACTAAACAAGTCGTAGAAACAAAATATACAAATAGAAATCCACAAGTCTCATATTTTGTTGCTACATCATGCAATGTCGCCAACTTAATTTTAAACTCCAGGCAACTTTTTTAAAATTATTCCTGAAACATTTTTCAAAAATATGTATATCTAAATGCAACTTTTCATACTGACACATACATTCTGTTTTTTTTTTAATTCCGATAAAATCTCACCTGGAATTGAATTGGTTCTGATTTGTCATCTACTACATCCTAAAAAAATTAGATTTGTCTTGGGTGGTTTATTCAATTTTATTTTGTGTACTTACATTAGTTTTGGTAGTTTCCGTTCCAAATTCTGGTATATGCGCTTTGTGGAAATTATTTATCGACTCTCTGAAACATAAAATGTAATTTTTTTTCTAAAAACTGAAAAAACGTACTTTTGCTTATACATTTTCGACTTATTTGGATTAACGTAAATCTCCTTCATTTTCGGAGAGTACTTTTCCTTAATTTGTTGTTGTTTTTCTCTAAATTTTTGAAGTTTAATTTCCCAATCACTTTTCGCTTCTTTCTTCGTTTCTTTTTTCGGTACGTTAAAGGCCGATGGTATTTTACATGGAACATTAACAATTCTGTACTGATTGGTAATCGGAGGTCTTGAACTTTTCGTGAAAACTTTTCTCTGTAAAAATTTCTATCGGCGAAAAAATATAAAAAAAGTTAAAATGTCCTTTCACCTCCCCACTTCCGCGTTCCTGATTTTTCCGTTGACTCAAACGAGGTGCCGATTTTTTTTGTGTTTTGCAATTTTTTGGAACACTGGACATTTTGATGAGAGCCGAATGAAATAAATTTGACAAAATTTTGACTTTTGTGGTGATGCGATAAAGCCGGCGTGTCTAGCCAAGACGATAAAATTCCCTTCTTTGAAAGATATTTTTTATGAGTGGGGTCACTGAGTCCGTTGCTGTAAACAAAACCTAAACATAAATAGTCGCGTTCGACTGTCATAACATTATTGCCCGAAATGAAATGGAAAAGTGTCGAAATTCGCCGGAGTCGACGCAGGCCAATTCCCAAACTCCGGACAAGTTAAAGTTAGTTGATCTGGCGCGGGCGGTCGGCCAACATCCTCCAGACGTAGCAGAAACGCGCGATTTTCTCACGAAAGAAAAAGTCTCACGATGGGCGTGAATTCGATCTTGGCGGCGTGCGTCTTTGCGACTTTCACGGCGGCCGTTGTGGCCTTGCAATGTTACCAGTGCGGGCAATACAACGACGGGGTGGGATCCATAACACCCTGTATCAACGAGACGCATATGGAGTTGAAGGAGTGCCCCAGCCTCGACCACGTTTATTGCATTGTAAGTTTGCAGCGACTTCTTGACACCTTTATCTCGCAATTACTGTGTCAAGGGGGCAAAGATACAAACAACAACTTGGGAAAAATTGCGGCTGCGATAAATCAACTCTCGTGCGATTTGCGCGACAAAATTACCCTTATCTCGTTTTTTGAACGGAAAAAGTTCAACAAACGATCCATCAATATCCGAACGGAACAATAGCGCGAGTTTAAACAAAGCCCAATCAAAATTTTAATGAAAAAATATTTATTCAAATTTTTGGGACACAAAGTAATTAAATTAGAGCGATCCACCCCTGGTGTTTTCCCATCTGGTGAGTTTCTCCTAAAGACATAAAAATCGATCCATGGAAATAAAATTGTTTATTAGTGAAAAGTTTTCAAGTCGCGCCCCTCGGGTTTTTTATTAAACGCTACATTCGGGAAATGGCGAATAAAAATTCGTTTACTATTATTAAGGAAAAATCTGTTTTTCTCTCGGATGAAATTTATCCCATTTTGTTCCAGACGAAAAGGGGATAATGTAAATATCATAAGGAACAGCCTCAGCTGGTCCCACTCAATAACTTCAGTTTAACGCTAAAAAAACACTGTAGTATCTCTCCAAAAAAAATCTAATATGAAAAACGTTCCAGCCGAGTTATTTAATTTGCGACACTTTTACCGCATTCGTCTCCATTATTAAAAGAAAATTTACTCTTACTCGTGTTTCCGGATCTTATCCTCGACTCTCATTTAGATTTTTAGCCTGAAAAACCAAACAAACGTCCGACAATTTTTCAAGTTTCGGGTTACAGGAATTAAGAGCTTTACCAACAAAGATGAGAAAAAATAGGCTTAATAGAACTGTGCACCTGTGATGCTTCCTGTCGGATATTATTATATTTTTTTCAGATAAATTCCTGAAATTGGATTACTAAAACAACACATGTAACAAAGTATTTAATTCCCTAATTTGAAAACAGCCTCTTTATAGTTTATCTAGTTTCAACTATCTTTTTAAATTTTAAGGTAACGGAAACTTTTTAATTTCATATGTATGTAGTTAATGTAAAACGACATTTGAGTAATTAATAATAAAAAAAGATCCATCGTGCAGAAATATTTAGGTAAACTGCGATTAAAATGCCGTGTATAATAAAATTCAATATTGAAACTCTTTAATCATTTCTGACAGGTAATTTTGATTAAAAATTTGTTTCGAAACAATCGTGAATTGAAAATTTGTGCATAATTAAATTCTTCAGCGTCAGTAATAACACAAAAATCTTAAAACTTTTACTAGTTTCGTGTTGTAGCGATGATTAATAAGAGTTTTGCTGTAACGAAGAACATGAAATAGAAATTTACACCTGAAATACTTTTCTGATTTTTTTACCAAAACTTTATTTATTTTTGTTCATTGATATTACGAGTAGGTACTTGCAACATAAATTGTTTATACTTTTTCACTAATTTTATAATTTCATCCATAGTTATTTATTATACAAGACGATAAAATTGTATTTTATCCTTGAGAGCGATTTAGCGTCAAGGCGTCAGCCAAAAATTTTATCGTCGTGTACAATATAAAATTTTATTCATTCCTCACTAATTTTGTAGTCAATTTGGTCGATATTTATAAATGTCAAAGTAAAATTCAACAATATCATCTAGACGATAAAATTTCATTTTAACATGAAGAAAAGAGTAGATAAAATTCAATTTTAACATAGAGGATTGAATAAAAGTTTTTTATTTTAATTCAAGTTTTTTAATACATGTAACCCAAAAATGCTATAAAAGAGGACTTTTTAAAATTTCAAAATATCAACATACCTTTTTTGTAGAATACAAAATTAATGAAATGCGACTCTAGAGCGAATACAGAAAAAAGAAATTTGAGTTTACCATAAAAAAGGGGTACGCCTTGCCTTGTAACAAACTCGTTTTTAGCAAATTTAACAAAATTTTATAAAAATAATTAGCTAAAAGCTCTCTCGAAATAAAGTCACTACTTAATTTCTCTGACTTGTAATTAAAATTTTCATTATGAAAAAGCCTAAAAAGTCGCGCGCTGCTCCAAGTTTTATGTTGGTGCAATGAAGTGTTTTGTGTGCAGAAAGATTCAAAGTGTGGTAAAATATAGGTCAATACACTTGGGGAGCTTACTGCAGAATAGCATTCGTCAACTCTCCCTTGTGCTAAATCCCAGCAAATGAATTATTAAAAGAACAATTATTGGATAAGACGTTACGAAATTTTTAAATTTCGTGTGAAAATTAGATTTTTGGAAGAGCTATGCATAATACAAGACCAATATTATTGTTCCGACGTTTGGGAAATAAGTTGATCCCTACGCCCGAGCTGGCAGCCTCAATTTTTAATTAAGTCGGACCCTTTGCGGTACGAACGCCTCTGTACGCTGTTAATCAGCAACCAGTCCGAAACTTAGCTCGTTTTCAAACAATGCGCCACAATCTGAATAGGAATGTTGTCCAAGATCCACCCGACATATGATATTAATTAACCTTTAACATCGTCGAGATTTTGTCCAGAATTTCCTTCTATTCTTATTTAAATGCTGTCCCCGGATCCTCTGGGGATTTCCAAATGAAAATCGTATGTAAATGCATAAATGCCGTGTCGGAAGACCCAATCGCATAATAAAACGGTCCCATTCGCGACCGGAAATTAGGGATGACGATGTGTGGATAAAGATGAGTTTGATAAATATTCGAAGTTGTTAAAAATTAAAATGCGGAAAATAAGTGGCGGGGATTCCCTCGGTAGTGATAAAAGCCGGGGGCGGCGCGAATTCAATTTACTCCAGATTTTTTCAAGAGACTGATTTAATTCAGTGTTAGGCTGGATATAGCAAAGCGAGAGAGTTTTTTATACGAAAAAAATTCAGTACTGATTATTGTTGAATTTAGAAAAACAAAGTTTAAAGTCGGGGTGCTTTCAAGCTTAAAACAGATTTCCAGTCATACACTCGAAAGCACTCGCCCAACTAAATTAGGTAATCAGTTTCGGATTTCTTCATGATAAAAAGAGTCGAATAAATTTTTAATTTGTAGCTAGTCGGGTAAACAATTGATTTATAATGTCTGAAAGAAACTCGGAAGCAGAATTTGTCTTAAAATTTTAATAAGAGAAGTAATTTAATACTTAGACAATCTGATTTCAGTTTCCGTCACAGAAAAATTTTTCTTTTTTGAAATGAATACAAGGCAGGCAAGACTATTTTCGTCTATTTTTATTTTCAGAGTTTTACAATTAACTAAAAAGTAATTATAAATTATTATTATTCCAAAATTTAATAGTTAATAATAAAAATATTTAAAAGATGATTTTCTTATTTTATACAAAAAAAGAACAATTATAATATCTAGGATTGACCAAAATAAAAAAAATTACTGAATTTTTTTATTAATGGTTATGTTTAATAAATGTTTAATGTAACTATGTAATCTATTCACAATATTTGTTTGGCGATGTTTTATTGACATCACTAATTTCTACCACTCAATACCTCACATCAAAATAAAAAAATTAAACTTTTCGTAACGAAATTAGAATCAGAACTCGCACAATTTAAAATTACTCGTAAACTCTAGTTAAAAAGTTTTTCATAATGTTCTCTAGTCAACTTTAAACTTGCCACTAAATGTTTATTTAAAATATTAATAAAAAACAAATGTATTTATTAAATGGAGGTACAGGAGATAAAGTCGTCTTGAACAATCTTGCACATCTCCTAAACCTCCCTTTAACCACAAAAAACTTGCACTTTGAACTAACTATGAATTCCTTTTATTATAAATGTATTCATTTACAAGTATAGAAATATTTAATTTTGCTTTGTTGTAGTAAATACACACAACTAATATAAAAAAGCTTATAAAATATTTCTTCTTAAAAAAATGTTGCTTTATTTAAGAAAGAAATATCGCCGTACCTACAAAGTTAATACTTTAACATAATAAATAATAATAACGTGGAAATGACAGAATTTCATTTATGCAAATGTTACCTCATTTTTCTTGTACTCTTCTTCTACTTTTTTCATTAAAACTGGCATTATAACAAAATACAGGGTGTTTACAGTCTTGGAGTTGAAATTTGACCTAGTAATAGAAGAGTACAGAAATACTGTAACCGAGAAAAAAAACTCACACAATTGTTATTATCAAGAATGTTATTTAACTCCAAAATATTGGTACACGGTTTGAGGGTCACTGGAATTATTTCCTTGTTCAGATAAAATTGTATTGTTGCAACAGATTAAAAAATCGTATCCATGACAATGAAAGAGAAAAGTCACTTCATAGTTTTGACACTGTCATCATTTGATTTGCTTTTGCTTTAGTTTTTATCAAAATTCAAAAATCTTCTGTTTAATATCTTTCAGCGAACGGTTTCCAATAGGTTTGATTCGTTTTTCTTAATTTTTCTCAAAATTTATGAACATGTATGGCAAAATAATAAAATTATAAATTGGTCATTATAAATGGCCATTGTTGCAGCCGAAGCAGCAGTTCTCAAACAAATAGTGTAAAATGAATAATTTCCTTTAACAACGTGAATTTTTGTTTTATTATAGCGTATTAGTTTTCTTTTACCGTGAATATCATCTCATTTAAATTTCAACCTCAAGACCGTAAACACCCTGTATATTAGAATCAGTGAATATTTTGTAGACGCTCAATAACTTTAAAAATTTTAATTCATAATTGTTGGGTGCGCCAGAACTCGCGCCCCAGAGAAAATTTTCAAGTAAGGTAAGGTACCAGGAAAATGTCAAAAAATTTTGACATTTATTTTTTGACATTTTTTACAATTATTTAGTAAAGAAACAAAAATTTTTCCAATAAAAGCCACAAATTACATTGAACAGAGTTAAAATTTAGGATACAGCCTCCTTGTTTCCTCTTTTAATAGCCTATAGCAAAAAAACTTGGAAAATAATTTTTCCAACAGAAAGTCAAAGTGCAAACTTTAAACCCTCATGACTTCGAAATTTTTATAGATAAAATTTTTTTAACATTTTTTCCATGTTCCTGGTATCTTACCCTATATATGGCATTATTCTCTGGGGCGCGAGTTCTGGCGCACCCTGTATATGTTATATTATTGTCTCTTAAAGAATTTTATTGACTAGATAATCAAATTTATACTATCGAGATGAGAAGAGAATAAGATTTGTCTCGCTAAAAATGCTACTTTTGCGCATTTTTCTAAGCTTCTTTAATTTTAGAGTAATAATAATTTAATTGACTCGCTAATTAAAAAATTAAGCTCTAAATTGCGTAAATATTCCGTAATCACTTTTCCTTCTCCCGAGTAAAAGCATAATTAAGATTTCTAACCGAAAGGTCAGAGTGGCGACTTCCGCGCTCTTTCCGGTCATAAGCCCCTCCAATTGCCCTTGAATTTGAACTGAATATGAAACAAATAATTTAAATAACCACATGCAAAATGAATAAATAATCCCATGTCAGGTTTCAAGTCTAGCAAATAATATTTTAAAATTTCCATACACCTTTCACGAAAATTGAATATTGCATTATCACACGATTTACTGCTGCATTATGCATGCCAGAGCCGGACTAACCTCCGGATTTCCCCATGGAGAACCCCCAAAAACGTGCGACAATAACAACAAAACTGAGATTTAAATGAAGCGAAAGCTCATGCATAATTTCAGTCACTCCACTGAAAGCTTACAAAGTCAGATAACGCAAGTGGCGTCCTTTTGTTTCAGAAATATGTAAGCGAAGGATCTACGGTGCGGGACTGCGTCGAGAAGTGCACGGAAAAAGGTAAGTAGGGAGTTTTTCCGCTCACACCCTCGTCACACTCTTTTATATGATACAGTTTAACGAAAAAATCGCCCCCTCATTAATTCTCTCGAGCAAAAAGGCCATTATAAAACGCCACCGAACCGCAATTATTCTCTGTTCTGGCGTTCTTTATCCTTAAAGTTTACAAGTGGGCGCGGTAAACAAGAGAGAAGCGAAAAAACAGTCGCATGTCGGACACAGGCGACATTATGATTGACACCGGCAATAAAACTCCGCTTTTAAAACAAATTTCCATTGTGAAAATATGACGGATGAAGTTGACTGTCACAATACAATCCAACTATCTTATTAATCGCTCCTTTAGTCTTAAACTCGTCTTAAGTATTTTTATTGAAAAATATGTGTCGCGTTTGGAAAGTTTCCCCCGGAAAAAGTTCGGCTTTTCATCAATTTTCTACTTAGCAAAGTTTAAATTTCGGGTTATCACGCGACAACCTTCCGGGATGTAAACAGGTCGGGAACGCCTGTCAGAGTGACGAGACAGCTGAATAGATCCGAGAAAATGCGGAGGTGTAATGAAGACATCACGAGAGGAACGACTCACTCCAAGATGGGAGTAATCCTCCGTGATTTTATACAACAATAATGAAGCGAGTGCGAACGCTAAGTTAATGTCATTTCCGGATATTATCGCGGTTAGCAGATGTCAAAATGTTGCGCCAAATTATTACGAAATTTCAGATTGACATCACATTACTTTGAAAATGCCAACAAGCTCAATATCGCAGCCAACTCGACGTAATGAAAATGAAACAAGTGAAAAACGAGAGATACTCAACCGCCTGTACGAGCGAATAAAAGGACGCGTAATTTTCTAAACTCATTTATCCAAAATGTTGACGTAATTTACTCTTTGTTCAAGGTTTCTTTCTTCATTCTTAAAGAATAAGAAATTTATTAACTCTAAGAGTCGGTTTATAGAAGCGTCATTAAGTTAATATAATCAGAAGTCAGTTAACTGATCACGTGACCAAATAGAACCAACCACATGCTCAGATTCACAAATTAATCACGCATTACCTTTTAACAACGGCTTTATTTTTAATTCACCTTCTATACTTGTAAACCCACCCCAAATGTCTAGTCAATAATCAGTTTACAACGTGTTACATAATAATTACAGGCTTGAAGTATGTATTTTTGATCAAATGTACAACATTGGCACGAAGGCACTGTTTTTTTACTTATTTTTATACTGAGCTGTGGTGTACGCCAGAGATAAACCTAACTTTTTACTGGTTTCAGATTATTGCTCATTCTTTTCTGAATTATGTACCACATTTTCCATAATTTTAATTCTTGAGACTTGAGAGATTTAGGGCTACTTTCGTAATCAAATTAAAGGGACTTTAAACTTAATGTTGGTTTAGAATGTAAAATTTTTGTTATCAAGTCCGTAGTAATCAGCACAATCTAAACAACATTTAATTTAAAGTTCCTTTAAATTGGATTATGAAACTGGCCCTTAAACCTTCAAAAAAAGTATTACATTTCCGATTTAAATGAATGCTCGTATTAAATATTCCAAATATGCCAAAACATCAAAATAAGAGCATGGAAGCTTCTAATAATTAACCGTTTTACTTGTTGTAATCCTTTGAAGTTCCAAGTTCCAAGAACGGGCAATAATCTGAAATAAGTGAAAACTTAATTTTGTCTCTGTTGCACACTACAGTATAAGTATAACATTTACAAGACAAAACCAGAAATGTTATTGAATTAAATTACAATGTTCTGCAAAGTTCGTTCTGTAAGTCGAACAAAAATTACAAAAGAATAACAAAAATTGCAAAATTTTAGTTGTCCGGTTAATTTTGGCGGCCAGCGTATTTAAAATAAGAAAAAATGCAAATTTTTAATTTGGCTGGTTTATATTACAACCAAATAAATCTTGTATTATGATAAAAGCTTTTGGTAATCAAATAAATGAAAAAGAGGAGCTTTTGCAGCCGAATATCGTCATTATAAGTACAGCGTGCTTTTAAAGTTTCCTCCTTTCGGTTGGACCAAACTCAAAGTGAAAACACTTTTGACTTAACTACAATTTAATTCGCAAACTTTTAAATATGGCGTTTCAAAACAATCGAGAAATGGAAGACAATAGAAAGCGTAAAAGCAGTCTAGACGAGTAAAATTCAACAGAGTAAATTCGCTGTTATCATGTTAGTGACCTGTCAAAAATGAATTTCCGAAACGGCTTCACCCCGTCTGGATTTGTCCGGTTTCAGAATTTACGACCATTATCGTTGAACGTCGCAGTTAATTTTTCGTCATATCTCAGTTGAAATACGACCTAAATTCGATTCCTCTAATTTTTCTCTTTAATTAATGGAAATTTGATGCACTGGGTTGTTATTATTAGACAAAATCAATTCGCCCGGCGCATCCACCAAATGTAATCTTTCCATCATTTAACATTTACATTAATATTAAATCGTAAAACCTTCAACGTCCAGGTGTTGCAAAACTTTGATAATTAGCTCAAACTTATCAGCACACCTATAAAAAAATTAACGTCGAACGATTAATTAATATTAAATGGAGTTTTGGCTCAAAAATAGCCTTGACCCATTGAACTCCTTGAACCTCCCGGCAAATTAGAATGTTTTTAGAGGTTTAGGTCTGAACTGGAAAGCTCCCGAATTGTCTAAACACTAATAAGAACTAATTTTCTTCAAACACGTCGAGCGAACAAATTAAAATTGCTAAGGCGTCGACTGTTAAATAGTTTTTCAAAGTTTAAATAGAATCAGGGCGTCGATGAGTCTGAGTGTTCTTGAGGCTTGACTGACGACTCATCAATAATTTTACTAAAAGTAAGATAGAAAAAATTATTAGTGGTGTTTTAGTGGTGTTAAGAAGCTGGCGAGATAATGTTAGGAAAAAAATTAATCGACTCAAAAAATTTGCTGCCATTTGTGAAATGAAATACATTTTATTACTCAAATAGCTTGTGGTTACGAGCACTAAAATCATTTACACAAATTAACCATTTTTTGTCATTTAGTATTAGCTATAACTGTCTGTAACATTTTATTTATTGTCATCATAATTATTTTCCCCAACGCTCGTGAAAATATCTGCAGAGATAAAATAAAAAATATACAACTCCAACTATAAAAAATATTTGCTATAAAGTTTCATTTCAAATTTATTTCAGTTTACGTCGTAAAAATGTATTTTGTTATGCGGTTAAAAAACAAAGATTTCCTTCTATTGGTTTATGTTTTAATTTATATTTTTTATAAGGTTGGCCAGCACCAGTGGCATTTTCACAGTTAGTGAAAATTAAATAACGCATAAAAAATTAATTTTAATACAGAATTTGTAATATCGTCAAAAATAAGTTTTATAAACTTTCACAATAGTATATTATGTTATTAAAAGTAAAAGTTTATGTGGCGACACTGAACGTTTATTTTGTCGAACGCAGTGAGGCAAATAATTCAGCTGAACCATAAAACTAATTTTTACTCGAAACTAGTAAATGACTTGTATTGCAAAATGTCGAATGTTGATAATCTACAATGTACCTCTCCAAAAATGCTGAAAGCGAAAGAGACAACATTGATAAATGTCATGATAAAAACGTTTTGCCAAAAATACAGAGTGGTTAATGACTGAAAAGTGTCATAAAAGTCCAGTTTTCTAATGTTTGCGGATAAAAATTATTTCTCTCAGCCTAAATAACATTTTTTTTTAAACCTAGAAATTATAAGAAATTAATTTTACATGTTTTTTTCCCAGTAGGCTATTAGAAAAGGAAACAAGGAACTTGTATCCTAAAATGTAACTATGTTTAACGTTATTTGTGGCTTTTATTGTCAAAATTTTTGTATCTTTACTAAATAATTATGAAAAAATACAAAATTTTTGTATCTTTACTAAATAATTATGAAAAAATACGTATGTATATACAAGATTATCAGTAACACTAACACTAACACACCCTGTATGTACTTGTATTTTAAAATGACAATTTAAGTTATAGTAAAAGTTTTTTTCTATTTTTTTTTTGAATTTGGATTAATTTGATGAAATTGATTTGATTATTATTTTGAGTATCTTTACAAAAAATCTAATGAACTATACAGGAGGGTGCGAGAGAACTCGCGCCCCAGAGAAAATTTTCAAGTAAGGTAAGATACCAGGAACATGAAAAAAATGTTTAAAAAATTCTATCTGTCAAAAAATTTTGACATTTATTTTTTGACATTTGACATTTTTTTTATGTCTATTTAATGATACTGATGATTTTGTATATGTTTTTTTAGAATTATTTAGTAAAGGGACAAAAATTTTGCCAATAAAAGCCACAAGTAACATTGAACAGAGTTTCAATTTAGGATACAGCTTCCTTGTTTCCTCTTTTAATAGCCTATAGCAAAAAAACTTGGAAAATTATGTTTCCAACAGAAATAAATAGAGTCAAAGTGCAAACTTTAAACCCTCATAACTTCGAAATTTTTATAGATAAAATTTTTTTAACATTTTTTCCATGTTCCTAGTATCTTATCTTATATGGCATTTTTCTCTGGGGCGCGAGTTCTGGCGCACCCTGTATTTGTAGTTCCAAATAATGTTTAAATATTTACTATTTGAGTACAAGCTCATTATTTAAAGCATGTTATCTTTATTCTTTGAAATTTTATATAGTTTGACGTGAAAGACTGAAGAAGTTTGGACTTGGAGGCGAGATCACTCAGTATTATCAAAAGTTATCGATTACTTTGGAACACCTCACACTTTGTGTTTAAATCAAATAAACTTTGTTTTATTAATTCGATGCATTATGTATTTTTTTAATATTTGCTATTTTGCTGAGTATGTATACAATTCCCAACTTCTTAGTTAATCATCTTTAAAAGTTGGCATTTCCATTGTCAGATTAATTAAACTACATGAACATGGTACTTCTTACAACTGTAATACTTGAAACTGTAATTTGCTTTTCCCTT